AAAGGATTAAATGTATTACATCCCCTTTGTGTGTGTTTGTGTGTGTGTTTGTTTGTGCGTGTGTTCCTATAAATTCTTTATTGTTTACTACCCTCCCCCATCCATGGTGCAAGGTTTGAAGCATACACAGAGGTGTGCTTTGATAAATGTCTCTCTCTGGATCCAGAGCACACTGACACACGTCTTCTGTATGATGATCTAATTTCAGGATAAAGCTTGGGGATGAAAGTGGCAACAACTTGCGAAGCAACGCACACTGCAGATGGTGCTGAATGAAGCTCAATAAGTGCTGAAAATGCTCTGTCCTGATTGGGGTTGGGTGGTATCTATTTTTTTTATGCCTTCATGATTTACTGAAATTTTACTGTGGTATGCATTAGGTTATAAAATAATAATGTGTTTTCAAAAAAGAAAAATGAAATCAAAAATAAAAGCAAGACTGTATACTTCCACTGAGGATAAAAAAACCAACTCTCTCCACAACAGGACGAACTGAGTCTCTCAATCCAGGGACATTTTTATCTGTGTTTGTCGTTTGTGATGTTAACAGTAACAGTTTTTGCTGTGTCAGACTTTACAATGATGTTTGTGGCTTTTTGCGCTTAGCAGTCATGATGTAGAATGAATGGAGGAAGTGGAAGGGGCTGAGAACACAGCCGTGTAGTGCATCCATCTCAATGTTAGTCGACTCTTATGAGCTGGAGAAGGCCTAGCCCATTATTGTAAGGGCAGTCCTGGTCTGCATTACTGATGTAGAAGCTCCAACTGTCAAGGGAGACAGAACGATGGAGGCAGGATGTGAGAGCCATGATAGGGGGTCCAATAAAAGTCTATATTCTGTCTTCACCTGTTTGACTGTCTAGCGTGCACGTTGAAGTCTTCAGGTGATCGGATGTCAAGGCTGGGGTCCATGCACAGAGACCTTGTCATGGATCATCCTGTCAAGGGGGGCCTGAGGCCAGAACATGGGAGTGGACCCAAATGCAGACACCAAACGGAAAAGCCATAAGATATTAGTAAACTTTATTGCGAACACAGAGATTAGAAATGACACGACGAGGGTACGTAGTGCAGAGTCTCTGACATGGAGGCACTGGGAAAGAGGGCGTCTGTAGTTCTGAGAATGAGGAGTTAATGCAAGGAGGAGAGAGGAATATTGATTCTGCGGGCTTACTTACAGGTGGATGTCGTGAGGCTCTGGGTAAGGCAACCAAGTGAGCGTCCGAGAACTAACTGCCGCAGGAATGAGGACACATTCAATCTCTTATATTTAGTGATGCAACGTGGAGCAAGTTCACGGGAAAGCGATTTCAGAGGAATGTCATAGCGGTGAGCCATACCTTTTGTTTTGGCTCATACCTGGGAGCAGGCATTAGATCTTAATCGTTCTGTGTAGTGGCACTGACGATCCTCCCTGGTCCAAGTCCAGATGCATTGGACTTGGACCAGATTAAACCGCGAGGTCAGTCTCGACTTATGGGAACAGGAGAGGTCAGTAACCTAGGGAGGCTTCAAAGGGCAAAAGACCAGTTGCAGATGAGGTAAGTGAGTTCTGTGCGTACTCTACTCAAGGAAGATGTGAAGACCAGGTTGCTGGGTTTTGTGTAGTGATGCAGCAGAGAGCTGATTCCAGAGCCTCTCGGTTTGGCCATTGGACTGAGGATGGTACTCAGAAAATGGAGGCTGACCATGGCAGTGCAGAGCAGAAAGCTTTCCAAACCTGTGAATCTTCATAGGAATGCTGTGGAGTCTAAAAAACATGATCAACAGGAAGCTTGGCAGTCTCTTAGGCAAAAGGCAGTTTATCTAGAGCAATCAAATGAGCTGATTTGGAAAATCTGTCTATTATGGAACAAATAACTGTTTTCCAGGAAGATGCAGGTAAACTGGTGACAAAATCTAGTGGAATGGATGACCATGATCTGTGAGAGGGTATCAGTGGTTGGAGCAATCATAACAATCATTGTCTTCATGCATGCTCAATCATCCAGGTAAGGAAATCTCAAAAGGTTGATTCTGTTCATCTGGACATTTTCAGTTGGAGAAACGTTTCGTCACTCATCCAAGTGACTTCTTCAGTCTCAGCTGACTGCAGGTTTCCCCAACAGGGGGAACTGGCAGGACAAGGCATCAGGCTTGATATTCCTGGAACCTGGACAATATGAGACTGAGAAATTAAAGTGACCAAAGAGCAGAGACTAACGGGCTTGGCAGATGTTAAGTCTTTTAGCAGTTCTTAGATAGGTTACATTTTTGTGGTCTGGCCAAACAGTGAAAGGTTGCTCAGTTCCTTCAAGCAGGTCCCGCCATTCTTCTAGAGCCAATTGACTGCTAACAGCTCCTGGTCACCCACATTATAATTTCACATCATAGGAGTAAGGCAATGCAAGAAGGCACAGGGTTAGAGCTTACCTTGGGGCCCCGAATGTTGACAGTATGACCCCCAACTCCAGAATCTGATCTACCGCTTTACTGAATGGCTGTGAGGTGTCAGGGTAGACTGAAATGGGCGCAAAGGTGAACAACTGTTTTAGCGTAACAAAAGGTGGAGGTGAGGTGAGTTAGCGGTGCGCTACCTGGCTGTAATTCAGAATGAAATATTGGTAGAAATTGGGAATACCAAGGAACCAAGGCGGGGTGTAGAGACTCTTCAAGGAGACCAGGGTCCAGGTAATTGAGCTGCAGGAGAGTGAAGCAGGGACTTGACAAGGAAATTGGAGACACAAGGAAATTACAGAGCATGAACACAAAAACAAGAAACAATGAGGCGTGGTTACCACCATGAGGTAGCTGACGAACTGGCCGGAGAATAGATGGCTGCGCTGGTCTTAAATATAGCCTCGCTGGTGAGTAGGGCAGGTGAGGAACCAGGGCTGCGCCCAGACAAACAGGACGGCAATGTGAAAATACCAGATCCACTCATTCGGATCCTGACACATCCATGGCTTTTGGTTTTTATTTTTTTAAGATGGACCAACATCGTTTTTGCATTTTTTGATGAAGTCACTGATGTTTCTATTCAGAGACGTAAACATCTACCAGAACGGTCCTGCAGGTTGGCATTGGATTTTTTAGAAACCATCAGTTGTTTTGTTTAACTTTTGTTCAAAACTTCTAACACAGTGAAATGATCCAGCTCCCCAGACGGGGACGATCTTACCCGGCATGTGCAGAGTAAGTTTAAGCACTTCAGCTCATTTCTGGTTGAAAAAAGTAAAGATTACAGTTGGCGCCTTACCAAAAAAAGCTGGGATGTAGGTGATCTGAAGAAAGATTGCCACAGTGCCATCACAATTAAAAGTTGGTTTAACATTTGGTATCAAAATAATAAGATTTGGCCATTTGGCAGATGTTTGTTGGGTTAAATGTTACACATCATGCACATTAAGGAGGGGAGGCATGGTGCACTATAGGTTAAAAGCTATGAATTGTGAGCTGGCATTGTCAGCTGATGATGAGTTGTATAAGGGTGATGGGATTACTGGGCACTGCTAATCTGATGCCCCTCCGCTGAGGTGGAGAAAGACACAGAGAGAAAGAGACTGTAGTGTGTTGCTGGGCGGCTGCCCGACAGCTGTGGGCCGTGCGGGCAGCTGATTTACTTTAGATTAGTCTGGACATGCGCCAACTAGGATTCAATCAGGCCATGATGAATGTGCTTTGGCTCACTGAGAGCTAACTGCTAAACTGACTGCTAACAGCACACCTCACTGCCTGTCAAGGAGGGGTAACATTTTGGGGCTTTCCAAAGGTCCCAGAGGTGTTTTGTTTTCACTTTGTGCCAAGGCTCTGCGACGTAATACAAAGGACCACTGTGTTTCCTCTCTGCGGTGGATTTATTCTTCGCAAAATAAACCGGCGGGATTATAAATACGGAGGGAGATAAATCCTGTTTTTTTTCGTGCTGTTGAAGTGAGGTGATATTCTGTAGCCATGGCTACATGTGAGTATTTGATGTTGTCTGTGGGTTTGATTTAGATGATAAAGACTGGGATTTAATCATTTTTATCTTAAATCGGTGTAATCGTCACTCTTAATTTGTAGCTGGTTTTAACAGTTGTAAGAATGATGGCCTCATGGAGCAAAAATGTTTGAACTTTCATGTGACACAGTTAGAAATCACAGTTCTATGTGCTCTGTATCTCTATTATTGTCTGGCCTTATAACTCCTATATTAGATCTTTTGTTATATTATCTTCTTCAATCCAGAAAAATATGCATCTTAATAAAGACGAACGCTGCAGTACCCATGAAGGTGTAACAGTTCTGTAGATGAGATCATGATGTCCACGTGGAGCCGCTGAAGCCCGCTTAGTCTGTTTTTTTCCCCCTTTCAGTTCTTGCTTTTAAATTAATCAGCAAACTGAGGTATGCTTCTAAATTCAAATCATAAAAATATTATCGATAAAATTAGAGCTGTTTTAGAGGAAAGCATGATCTTTTACGGGACCGTCTGACCACAGCCTCCAACAAGCTGTGTTTACAGAAAATAGATCAAACAGCAGAGTTTATCACATCATGGTGCTCTTTAATATTTTATTTGTTTTTGCAAAGGATGGAAAGAAGCAAGTATGGGACTGGCATTTTTTTATATTAGAGTTGGGTGTTTGTTGATACACAAGCAAGACTCTTAATGTCTATGAAAAACTGATTCTGCTCCAGCAAAGTTAAAAGCACATTAAAGTTCACCTGCGTTGTACAGATGTTTTAATGCTGCAGATTTGGCCTCCTGACATCAAGCAGGTCACCCACAACCCATCTGGAGTTAGGGGTAGGGTTTGGATAAAGTTAGAATCCACCTATTTTTATGGAATTATGGAAAGTTAGATGCTAAGAAAGTTTCTGAAAATGTACCTTTTAAGCATGTTGCCCATCCGTCAAACTAAAAAAAAAAAAACATTTCAGTGCTAAGCCCAGATGTGTTGCTGGTGACCTGGTGGATGTTCAGAGGTGACTTGAAATGAGTTTGCCAAAATCTTCTTCCCTTTCGACCTTTCCAGGTAATGTGGGTATGCAACCAGTGCCGTAAGCAACAGGAGATTCTCACCAAATCAGGAGAATGGTTTTCGGGGTCAGGGGTGCGGCCCGGGAGCCTGGGCACCTCTTTAAACAATCCAGCCACGGGAGGTGAGGCCCAACGGGACAGGAAGCTACTCCGCTCCAGGTCCCAAGCCCCACCGTCCAGCACCAACGCCAACACAGGGCCACCAGACGGGACACATCCGCCCGGCGGTGTCACTGCTCTCAAGGGTGCTGACACCATGCCTGGCTCTCGCTCTCAAAGTGAACCCCCAAGAGAAAAGTGAGATTCCTCTTTATGTACAACCTTTGCCTCTTTTCATTTTTAACATAGGAATTGGTGAAAGCTAGCAGTACTGCAGGATTCAGTTTTCATGGTATATTAATTTGCTGAAGCCCTTGTTGTGTTTTTTAATCCGCTATGTAGCTCTGAGTCTGCAGTAGCTTAACCAGAGAAGAAGGTAGGTCACAGGCAGGTCTTGAGAGGTCTTTGACTCAATCCCTTTGTTTTAATTCTTTGGGTGTGTTAGGTAAGAATTCATAGCTGTCTCATCCTGGTTAGTAGTTTTTTAATCTGTTGATAGCCCTTCGTGACTGAACTAAGAAGATTTTGAAAATAAAAAAAGAAAGAATATATAAAAAGCACAAAATATTTCTGTCAAAAAGCATGCAAAGAATGCTCCTGTGTTTGTATTTGCTTTTATAAAATAACCTAATTTCTTTTCTCATTTAGGAAAAGGCCAGTTTCTTTCCATGAGCAAAACGGTAAGGGAGGCATGGGACGTGGTTCTGCCCGGAGACCAGCAGACAAGTTGCATTCACAGTCATCTCTGGACGAGCGGATGGGTCCCGGAGACAGAGGAGAGAGACGGTTAGGAGATGGAAGGCGGCTGGAAAAGATCCACTCTCAGGACTACGAGGACGGGGATGAAAACCTGGGTCGTTCAGAAACACACCGCAGGCGTCCAGAGGATGAGGAGAAGAGGGAACGGCAGCGGCGCGAGGAGGAGTTTCAGAACCGCTATCGCAGTGACCCCAACTTGGCAAGATACCCAGTCAAACCACAGAAGGAGGAGCAGGAGATGCGCATGCACGCCAAGGTGTCGAAGGTGCGGCATGAGCGACGACACAGTGATCTTGCAATAAATGAGGTCGGACTGGGGCCTGGTGAAGGGGGTGGGGGTGGAGGCAGCACAGGAGAGGTGCCGGAAAACCGTCTTGCCAGGAGGGGTGGAGGTGGGGAAGGAGACCGCAAGGCCCTCATGGAGAATCACAGGGCCTACTCCGCAGATAGGACCGTGGGGGTTGTAGGTGGGGCTCCCCCTGCCAGTGGAGGGGGAAGATCAGGGTCCCAACTTGGGGGACCTGTGCCTTCAGACTGGGGTCCAAACAACAGTCGCCTGGAGCATGGACCCCAAGACGGAACGCGGACATCAAGAGAGAAGGGTGGGGTGGATAACCTGCTGAGGAAGGACTCTCAGGGCTCGGACCAGTCGGAGTCTTTGCGGCCACCCCCTCCACAGTCATACAAGGGCAAGCGCGGAGTCAACAAGAGGCAGATGTCCATCAGCAGCTCAGAGGAGGAGGGCGGCTCCACGCCCGAGTACACCAGCTGTGAGGACGTGGACATGGAAAGTGTCAGCGAGAAAGGTCAGTCAGGCAGATGTGCTTACTAAGCTGAACCTCTCCTTACACCGTTAGCCACCATCCATTTCTGTACATTAGAAACTTTTCCTTACTTGTTGAGGCTTCTTTTTCACTCACGAGTCTTCTCATTATATTTTGCTAATGATCTCTGGCTGGTCTTATCTAGACCACACGTTCATACTTTGTTTCCTCATGTAGTCCTCATTCTGTGTAAATGAAACACACAGGACTTTAATGTGGTCTCTCCTGTATTGTCATCATTGTCAAGAACCATGCCGACACTGTGTGCCCGGCGTGCTCTGAGCAAGATTAGAGTCACAGCAGATCTGATGACTAATTGAAATCTGATCTGCTGCTAATACTCTGGGGGACAGACAGATCAATAGACCGGACAAGAGATCTGCCACAGTTTTTAACCACTGTTGATCAGATATAAGGGAAAATAAAAACATAATCTCACACTTCATAGATATGTTTTCCACTGCATTCTGCATTGGTAGTGGAATTACAAACAATGTGAGAAAAGCCAGATATATTTTGACCCCCAAGATTACTCTAAAACCAACACTTTCTAGTTTTGGACTGTGAAACTATATGATAAGCGATAGGATAAAGTGCCCACCCAGCATGCAGTGCATTACTATCCCTGTGTGTCATCTACACCTCTGTGCTGTGGCTAAACCCTGCTGCTCTCAGGACAGCTCTCATTTATTTGGAGAGTCCCTGTGATTTAGGCCAGCAGATTTGTGGAATTAGGTCAGTGGCTCGCTGGCTATGTAATGCTTTGCTAACAGCCAGCTGCAACAGCCAACCATGTCCCACCGACTAAATTCAAGCCTGGTTGCAGTTGCACGCTACACGATTTCTGCTATCTTCTTGGCACTTATGGATTTCCCCGCACTAACAGAAATCAAGGGCTGTGCTAAAATAACCCACGCAAGAGTGTTTGGGTTCAGGAGGCAGAGTTACTGCATCAGCTTATCTCTCACTGGTCAGTCCCAGAAGGATGGTGTTCCAGATGTTTTAATCCAGCTTACTATAACTCAGGGACTGGTAATGTGTAGATGGTGTGGATTGGGATTATTAGCTGTTTTAAACACTCTTTAGCTAGCTGGGCCTCAAAACAGGATGTTTTACTCTCACCATCTCTGGCAATAAGAAAAAGTCACAGGATAATATGTAGCATGCGTTGTGCGATGGAAGGCATTGCATTGTCAGATTAATGCTGGTGTCATCTTAAATTAGACATGGCCAGAGATCTTTTTGGTTTAAGAAATTAGGTGTCATTACATGGATCTGAGATGTAACTAAAAAGTTCTACAGACTGCATCAAATCCCACCAATCAGCACTCATCTTCAAGCTCCTCTTGAAGGCACTTATTTGTCAGCTATTTAGAAGCATTATCACGGAAGCATGAAGGCTCTGCTTCCAAGACATAAATTAACCCATGTGCGTAAACTTTTTTCAGTGGAGGTCTCTTTTGAATGTTCCTCTAAATCTCACATGACTGGAGTCACCAGTCATTTCAATAAAACCGACACGTTCCCAATCCAGGGCTCGTGTCTTACTGTGTGTGTGTGTGTGTCTCTCTCTCTCTCTCTCACTCTCTTTCTATATACGTATGTGTGTATATATATATATATATATATATATATTATATATATATATATATATATATATATATATATATATATTATATGTTTAGTGTAGTCATTTAGGTTGAGCTGAATTGTTTTATTATTATTATTGTATGTCCTTTACCTTACAATATATAGTGGTAACTCTTGTGATCTGGAGATATCTTAAAAAAACAGGGTCCATCCATTCATTTTATTCATTGTTCATGCAATACATGGCCACTAATGCAGTCTAACATGCATGTCAAGAGAACTTGAAAGCAAATGATGCAAAAAGGCTGAGCAGCAGGTTTGATTCAAGAGCATTCTTCCAGTTAAGTGACCGTGCTGTAGCACCACTGTGCCACCCTGGCTCTAATATGTTTCTCCTTATTTTCTGTCATATATACACAGTTACTAAGTCATATGGTGTAGTTTAAAGCCGTATTTGAACTTTGCCCTCAAAAGCTCAGGTGACATTCTGTTATTTTACTTATGCAAAAATATAATGAATGAAACATTTGTTAAATTTTTGCAAAAAGTGATAAAAAAGATAAGATGGGTTTGTGTATCACCATTAGGATCCACGTATAAATATGATGATAATAAAATTCAATTCAACTCTGATGTTGAAGCACTCTATTAACAAATTACCACAGCATTGCTGGTATTAAACCTTTTATGTGTGGTCAAGCCCTATGAGCCAAACGCTCATGTTTCAGAGAGTTATATCAGTTATTGGCTGTATGATGATCCTTAATATGCTCGTCTCAGCCACACAGCTCCGTCTGTGAGTATAGACGTGACACCCGGGCATAAAGCTGCCTCAAAGACAGAAGAGCTAAAAGCTTTTTTCAGACAGTGGCTGCATGAAGGCCCAGTAAAGTATAGGATGCTGTGGCTTTGAGGCTGATATGTTTTCTCTAACTGGCTCAGAGAAAATGACAATGTGAAAGTCCACACAACAGGAAACTAAAACAGACAAATACCAAAGAACGCTGATGTGGATTGGAAGGACTAGGGAGAGAGCTGCTGAAGAAGGGTCAGGTGATAGCGTGGATGCTCACATGCTCCTCTTAAACAGATGATTTTTCCATATCAGTCAGTTACCAATGAGAGTAAGCCAGGACTGCCTTCAGGACAGTAAGAGGGACTTGGTCAATCTTCAGTTGAGCGGAGCCTCTTTCACTTACATGCTGTGTTTGTCTTAAACAATGATACCTACAAAGAGCTGTTAATAAAGAGCTATCTGCCCAGCTTGCTCATCCACTAAACGGTGGCATCAGCATTTTTCCTCTCGAGTGTTCCAGTTAGCATCACTAAAGTTGCTCAAGTCATTCAGACTTTTTTTTCCTGATTTCTCCATCAACCATGATTGTATAGGCTTCATTTGGTTTCTACTCTTTCCACCAAAAAGTTCTTTTCTCTCCCCCCTGCAGGCATTTTGCAAAAAAACATCACGTGAATTATTCTGCCTGCCCACGTACCTCAAACTGAAGTTACTCAAAGGATTTTAAAATCGCCATCAGATGTTTTCTTGCTGTTGTTTTACTCCTGCTTTGAAACAATGACTGCAAATCTCCCAGGCTCCTCTGTCTTGATGTAGAGCCAGTTAGCTTTCCATCTGTCAGTGTTAATGAGCGCTGGGATACACGGACACTCTTTTGTTTCTCTGTTCAACTTAGCCAGTCTTGGACAGGCCAAGTTGGAGAGAAATGATAATAGTTTGATTATGAATGTTTTTAGCCGTTACTGCTGAATGACATTACTTTAATCCTACATGTAAGTTAAAGGACACACACTAAACTGTGCTGCCCATTTCCAGCTCCATATTTGTATTCTTAAAATCTAGAGTAGCTTTGCATTATTCATGGTTCAGAATAATCCTCATCTATCTTATACTGGGGTGTGGTGCAGCTACTTAGGTCATCCTCTGTTGGAACACAGGGTTTTAGCTCCTCCCTTTTTAAATCGACAACCACAGTAGACAACATCTGAGCACAGTTTAGTCACAGCTAGCAGGTCCCAAGGACCCAAACACAGATCCAGAAGACAGGCTGTTGTAGCTGTTTGCAAAGTCCAAAAAACACATGGGAGCGTAAAGCAAAACTAAATCCACATGGACTCAAAGGGAGGACGCACACAGGGAATGATCACAGGCTAAATAATTTTGATGTTTCGTCTGATGCTTAAGCCCCGAGGCCTGTGTCAAGGACAGGGGGCGTGCCCAAATAAAGCCCATCCCAACACCTGTATTGTTTTCTTCAGAAACCACATGACCAAAGATAAACGAGGAACCCTTTCTCTGAAATGACGTGACTGCTTCATGTCATTTGAACCGGATTTGAGCGGTTGAAAAGATGCGGGAATTTTTTTGTGGTCTGAGGTGATTCTGATGATCATCAGCAGTCTGCAACGAGATTATGGAGCACATCGAATGACCAGCAGATGTCACTAGTTCAAAATGAGCTGTTAAACAGGGTTTTGTGTGATCTGCCTTCTGGTGAAGCAATTGGCTGGAAAGATCCGACACGTTCACAGGCCTTCATCACACCATCACTACGGCGTTAAGAGACGCTAAGAAAAGGGAAAACAGCACTATTTCAAGTCATGAGGGTAATTATTAAGGAAGTTGACACAGCAGGGCGATGAGACACAGCTGAAGACAATCAAGACAATGCCTGAGGAAGTAAACTAATCACAAGACGCCAGAGACAGATGACTGTTAAAATAAAACAGGAAGCAACTCAGCAGATAATCACCAACAGAAACACTTGACAAGATACAGGATGACATAGAGAAGGCAAGCCTACTAAATCAAAATGTAATAAAAATTCAATAAAAAATATAACTAACAGAAACTAAATACTAAAATATAAGAGCTTTGGAGCTTCAACAGGGAGTCTAAAGTATTGTTAAGTAAGAGAATTCAGATCATTTTAGTAAATTAAGTTACATTTTTATAGATGGCGAAATGGAATTTTTAGCTTTTTAAAATTAAACCTACCTCAAAGAAAGCCTTTGGCAGGCCCTGGCATATAAAACAGAAATGGGATGATAAACCCATTAGTTATGTTGTTTGAATTAAAGCAGATCGCAGTCTTTAATGGCATCACTGAGTCATCTTTCTAAGAGTTTTTTGTAGCTTGGAATCAACCTGCACAATTACATTTAACATAATTTAGACAAATGACTAATTCCTCCCTCTCGAACTCTTTCTCCCTGCAGGTGACTGGGACTGTCATCCTCTAGATCCTGCAGTTTGGCATGTAAGTTTCACCAGTCAGGTTGTTCCTGAAGCTCTGCCCTGATCCCTTTCCTCACATATAGCTGCACTTATATTAAGTCTAATGTTGCATGGGACCCATGACCAAATTACCAGTATTTACAGTTGATAATGTGCTTTGTAAACATCCTCATGTCTTTGTCCCTTTAGCATCCAGTTTCGTGGCAGCCATCCAAAGAGGGAGACCACCTGATTGGGCGGATCACTCTGAGCAAGAGGTCAGCCATGCCCCGTGAGGCAGGCTCTCTCCTGGGACTAAAAGTAAGCAGGGATTCATTCACATTAAGATCTGTCCTCACTGAGACAACAGGCAGTGTTGGAGAGGACGGAGTGACATCTGATCTTATCGTACGTCTGTCTCATCTTTGTGTGCAGGTGGTAGGAGGGAAGATGACGGAGACAGGGAGACTTGGGGCCTTCATCACCAAAGTTAAAAAAGGGAGTCTGGCAGATGTCGTGGGACACCTACGTGCAGGTACAAAAAATAGAACATGTTGTTCCTTTGCAGGAGCTGCAGAACTGCAGACAGTATTGCTTTCATCTAGGAATGCATGTGAGATCAACCTTTGCATAGACATCAGTATGTACCTGTCATCTTTGCAGGCATGAGTAGTGTGCTTGTCATTGAAATTGTTAAATGCTAAAATGCTAAACATTTGTAGCAGCTTGTGGTGGCCTACAGAATAGTAATAATACTGGTGTTTTTATTGGTGTAATGTCTGTGGGAGCTGCCACTTGAACTCAAGCAATCAACCAGCCTGCTTGTGCTGCATTCACATTATACCAGACCTTTACTGGAGTGCTATTTTGAGGAGTTTGGTTTTGCCAGTTTTACACTGATAAATAATTTTCAAAGCATTTTAAAAAAGGAAAAAAAAAGGAATGTGGGCAAAAGTAAGCAACCGCAGTCAGCTGTTGGGATTAAAGTGATATTAGAGCATATATAAGGAAGCACAGAATGTATAAACAGGCAATGTGTACAGTTCTGCAGTAAAGCAGTCATCATTCATGCTACATTTTGCTTATCTGACCACGCTGTGTCATGATTTGAATAATAATGGAGTAATGTATGGAGTGCTGAGGTCACGGGACTACTTCTGGCTGTAAATTTTGACTGTACAGCGACTCAGCTGCTGCTGAAAGTATTAACCCAGGGCCTTATTTATGCTTGAACATAGTGTTAAAATCACTCCTGAGAGGGAAAAAACATTTGAGGAGGTTCTGAGAGCTCCGTTTTCAATTTACAGGTCGGAAATCATCGTAACTCACCTAAAATGCTTTGTCACTGTGGGTTTAGTCAGGAAAAAAAGAAGGAGCCAACAAGAAAACCCAGGCAGCAGTGACCTTTATGGTGGGCTAAATAGTGGGTTGGCATACCAAACCAAACATGTAAAAATGGGCAGATAAAAAGACAGAAATGTGCCTCATCAAGTGCAAAAAAGTCCTTCCAGTCTCTGAAAACTCTCAGAAGTGTTTTTTTTTGTCTAATTTGACAACTTGGATCTTTTCATGATAATTCATGAAAGATGCAAGCGGCAATAAGTCACATTAATGTGCTGGACAACCACTTATTTTAAGTCTGGAGATTGATGAGATAAAATTGTTTCCACACTAAAGTCACATTAAATTAAATTGTTTTCTCCATTAAAGTCAGAAACGAGGATGAAACAGGTTGTGGTTAATCGTGTGATTGACAAGTTTTAAGTGTCCACCCCTCGGTCATCCAGCGTCAGACAAGCTTGAAGTTTCACAAAAGGACTTTTCTTACCAAAGGGTGATGTTATGGTGACAATGTCCATTTTCTGAATACAGCCTTTGACCGATCATCGTCGGGTTTTTGTGTGGAGCACCCAGCAGAAAAGTTGCGCTGCACTTAACTGCACACTGAGGACATTTGATTTTTCAGTTTGACTTTAAGAAGCATTAATCTTGTTTTCAGGTGATGAGGTGTTGCAGTGGAACCGGAAGTCGTTGCCAGGAGCAACCAAGAAAGAAGTGTACAACATCATTCTCGAGTCCAAGGCTGAGCCTCAAGTGGAGATTGTTGTTTCGAGACCTATAGGGTGCGTTTGTTGTTACTAATGTGTACTGGTCATTGTTAAAGTACCACGGCTTTGATTTTCCTTCTGACGGACTTTTGATGTGTCTCCTTTATCTAAAAGCTCTGTGAACCGAATTATGTCCAAACACCTCTTGAGAAAAGTGTATAGAGCACATCAGTAAGTAGAGTGGAGCCCCTTCCCAATGTATCTTCCCTGAAATCCTTCAGATCCAAGAAAGACATCCCCTTTTTTCCACCTGTTCTTCAGTCCTTGGCCACCTGCTGTTTTCCCCACACTGTTAATATGACTGACTGGTTTTGTTCTTCTTCTACTGTGTTAGAAACTGTTGTTGTTTAGAGATATATGCCAGCTGAATGACATATAGTAAGGGAAGATTTGTATACACTCTGTGACTCTTCTGCTTTTTACAGAGACATCCCAAGAATCCCAGAGTCCTCCCACCCTCCTCTAGAATCTAGTAAGTTTTTATATCACCAGCTTAACAGGCTTTATATTTTAAAATGTGCTTTCAGTTAATGTTTTTTCCTATTATTCATTCTGTTGATCCCTCAGCAGGCTCCAGCTCCTTTGAGTCCCAGAAGATGGACCGTCCATCTATATCCGTGATGTCCCCTACTAGTCCCAGCACTCTCAGAGACCTTCCTCTGGTTCTGCCTGGACAGCTCTCTGTGAGTATCAGGAACAAACACAATGAGGTTCATCTGACTGGATATAGATTGAAAAGGATGCTAACTGCCTTTATGCATTGTTATAGGTGAAGCTGTGGTACGACAAAGTGGGCCATCAGCTGATTGTCAACGTCCTTCAAGCCATAGACCTGCCACCCCGACCAGACGGACGACCTCGAAACCCCTACGTCAAGATGTACTTCCTGCCTGATAGGAGGTCAGCTCATTGTGTTCATTTTTACTTATTGAGCATCTCACGGGTATTTCTTCATCTATAGTTTTTATTTTGAACAATAAAAAAAAACCATACTGTTCTCCTTCTTGCACACTGAATGAATCCATGATTTCTTCTCTCTTCCAGTGATAAGAGTAAACGACGGACTAAAACGGTGAAAAAGAGCGCTGAGCCCAAGTGGAACCAGACCTTTATTTATTCCCACGTTCATCGGCGAGACTTCAGAGAGCGCATGCTGGAGATCACAGTGTGGGACCAGCCTCGAGTCCAGGAGGAGGAGAGTGAATTCCTGGGCGAGGTGGGTGACAGCCACTGTCCAATCAAAGCCATTTTATTGGTTGAACTGTAAAACTTGTAATAGACACATCAAATTCCCTAAATCCACATTTTAACCTTAGTAGAAGAAACATATGTAAATGGTAAATGGCCTGTGTTTGTATAGCGTATTTTTACATTTTCAAAATTAAAAAAATAAGGTGGAGATCAACTGAGAAGACCAGTTGCTAGATTTGCTGCACTTTAGGAACAGGGATGTTGTCCCATTATTGTCCGATAGAAGACTCCAGCTGCTTAACAGTCCTGGTTCTTCTTTGTGGAACCTTTGGTTTCATGATGCTCCAGATGTTTTTAGTTAGTCTGAACCTCAGGTAGGCCTAATCACTACACAAACTCTTCTACTACATGTATCTGCGGTATCTATGCTGTTGGAATCGATACAGTTTGGCATCATCTAGATGCAAAATGGAAGGTCTTCCCTGAATGTCAGTGTAGATGTCATATAAAGAAAAGCATACATTGCTCTAAAACGTGTAGATACTGTTGAGCATTGACAGTGTTTGAACTCTTCTTTAGTCCAGAGGATGTGGTGCACGTGTTTTAAATCCTGTCCTGTCTGGCAGCTTTTGGAATCAGAATGCAGAAGGACACGATGAACCTCTGTACTTCTATAAGATGCACGTTTATACCCAGTCAAGTTACTGAGCTGTTACCATTTAACCTAATTAGTTGCAAACTGTTCCTGCCCTCACATTTCTAGCCTTTTGTTCCCTCATCCCAACTTTTGTCTTGCTGCCATCAAATTCAAAATGAACTAATATGCTATCAAATTGTTATTTATCTTGTAATGCCTCCCAGTCCAGCTCTTCAGTTCGAAGCAATGTTTTAGCCCCTCCCCTCTTAAGCTCCTCCTCTCTTGGCTCTTAAGTAGACTATCCTCTCATTGGCTGCCTCTCATAAATAGATGGTTGAAACAGCAGGCCAGAGCTGTTTTGGAGAAGAAATGAGAGATATCTGGTCTTACTGACTTCATTCAGACAAGTATTGATCATTTACATATTCTGCCAGCTCCCAAATGTTTCCCAATATCCCATAACTGGAAATCTTGGGATTTTTACTATGTTTTAAATTAAAGACACTTCTGATTACAGATGAAGATGATAGCAAGCAACCATAATTTATCCATAAAGGATTTTTTACTTACAGGAGTCACAAAACAGCAATACAAACTTAAAGAAAACAGTAGATAAAAGAATATAAACTTCAAAAGAACTGTTACTCTAAAAGCAATAAGAAAGTGAAAACAGTTTTTATAGTTTTTAAATGGTTTTTAAAAATTAAATGGTGCAAACATGTTTCTCAAATACCGGTCTGCGGAGAGAATGACAGGGGGAACTGTGAGAAACACCCATCACCCAAAATTAGCTAAGTCTGCCTAACATAGGATTTAACTTGTTGTATATTTACTGAATATGATTGCCTAAAGTTTCATTCTCTGAGTGGATGAAACTGATTTTCTTTTAAATGTCTTCACACGTGTGAAGATTTCTACTTTCCATTTTTCTCATGTGCCACCTCCCTTTCTGTCCCCCTCAGATCCTCATAGAGTTGGAGACGGCCTTGCTAGACGACATTCCTCACTGGTATAAGCTCCAGACACATGACGTGTCCTCTATACCTCTGCCACAGCCCTCTCCATACCTCCCACGGAGACACGTCCATGGAGACAGCCCCAGCAGGAAACTACAGAGTATGTGTGTTCATTTATTTGCAGGCTGTGTGTCCTTTAACCAACAGTGTTTGAGCGTGGTGGCTAACATTTCCTGTTCTGAGCCTTCTCCAGTGTCCCTCTCAGCGTGGGAGAATCTCTCAACCTTACCCTGTCTTGTGTGTGGGTGTTTTGCGTGTGCGTTTGTATGTGTGCAGGGTCTCATCGCATCATTGATACAGAGTTTGATGATGGTTTGATAGTAGTGACTAAAGGTGGGTGGGGGTCATGGTTATTGAGCGTTTCCTCGTAGTAGCCTGTAGGTGCCCAGCACTGCGTGAGAGAGCATCCTTGTGCATCCTCCCTTCATGTCCTGTGGAAACCTTTTGGGTCTGCTTCTATAAATTTCTAAAAATTTAACCTAAATTAAAATAATTAATTCAAGCTGAATCAGCAAAAACACCCGAAAGTATTTTGCAAATCATCACATTTCTTACTGGGGTGCAGATTCTGAATTTTTGCGTGAGGCTGCATGAGCATTTTCTCCTCTTTTGCTGGGTCTTAGAAACACCGACGCACTGAGTGCATGCTGCACTGCAGAGCTGCAGTAGTTCACTGCCATTCCACTACGTCTCCTGCAATCCTGCATGCTTCTATTCCTGCTCCTTACTTCACTGAAAGCACACTGAACACAGACAATAGAAGACATTTTAGCTACAGCTGCTTTGCTGGCTGCCTGTTTCTGCCCTCGCTTCAGTTCCAGTGTGCATTGATTTAGACATTAATGCAATTTTATTTAATTTTTTTGGTAGCCTTTAAAATGCCACAAGTATGATCAGGATACTATTTGAACATTACTATGATTTTATTTTATTTTCTTTTCCTTGTTATTTTGTTTTGCCTCAAATAACAGAGCTCTGTACTACAATACCCACAATTCTTAGCCACAGCTTAAATCGTGCACCACAGGTGATGAATTCATTCACTCAACTATTCATTCATTGGCCAAAAAAAAGTGTTAATTTTAGTTGCAGTGCAAGTGTATACCTAACTGCATCTTGAGAGTCAGTTTTTATACATAGGTTGTTGTTTTTTTGTACTTATCCAACCAGCGATGCTTCCTGTGTATTCTTAGAAGCTCCCCAACTGGCTGCTACCTTTAATGATCCATACAAGTCATGATTGAGACCTTCGCCTCACTTCACTTTGCACAGTTCTGTTTCACATCCTGTCGTTCATATTTAAAGCTAGAGTTGGCAGACGTCTAGAAAGACCAAACCCCGCCCCCAAAAAACACCGAGCCAATGTCTCGGTGTCTCTGCAGAACACAAGTGGGTGTTCATCAGCCATTAGAGGAGGACGAGCAAAGTGACCACTGGCCTCTGCGCTCTACACTCCTGTCCCAGAATCTTGTCAGATTGCTGTATACCATTTCCAGTAATTCCCACGTGCGGTTAAATCAAAGTAAAGTTTGCAGTTTTACATCTTTGCATTGGTGGCCAAGAGTATTTTCTGTATCGTTAACCATTAATGAAACTTTTAAATCGTAGCATGTCACATGTTCCCAAATGTGAAGAGGTCATAAGCCATACACCCCCCTCCTTTCACCCTATGTTAGCTTGAACTGGCCCCAACCCTTCTGTGGTATAAGAAAATGAACGAATGGGTGAAGAGATCACACTAAATTGGGAGCAATGTCTTGGCACGCCACTCAACCATTCCATATAAAGTTAGGTTAGGGTTAGAAGCAACGTCAAGGATTTCTGCCAGCCTAGTTAAGGGATGGCGTCACCGTTTTTTGACTCCTTAATGAAATGTCCTGCAGCCCCCTCTCTCCTATAACTGTCCTAACTCCACCCCATCAGACATATATAGGCTATACATCAGCTCCAGCAGCCAGAAGGCCATCCATGCTACGTCCACAACCAACTACATCAAGACCATCACAGAAAATTTAACTTAGCATCTTACCAATCCAGGGAGCAATGAGAGGTGCTGAATATAGTTTGTCATTCGCTCCTGAGATGAGATGTGTTTTAGTGCATTAAATGTCCCTTTTTTGGGCTGTTTTGCAATGTACGTAGTTGCTGTCGGTGGAATAGCCACTTTTAATTCAGGAATATCTGCCACTTAGTAAAGGGAAGTTCCCATGAATTTGTAGAAGGGCCAATTAGAGTAGCTTCTCTTTGACCTGTGATTGGCCAGAGTCTCCCATCACAAAGCCAGGAGGAGGTGGAGAAGTGTAGGTTTCTCTCACACAACAGGAGATGTTTTTTTCCTGTAAGACTCAAACATTACTGCCGATCTCAGCTTTAAATGAGGCTAATGCTCTGTTACTGCATTTTTTTCTGTATCATGTGACTTACTATAGCTTTGTAGGCTTGTAACTGTAAATGTCTGATCTGTCATCTCATCAGCCACTTCATGGGATTAAAACAAGCTGAGCTCAGGTCTGACAGACACATTTGCAGAAACAGTCACATGACCAGCTACACTGCGTTTGCAAGCTGCTTATTTGCCTGTAAAACATCCAGATGTGATGTTTTACAGTCTGTAGGTGAATGGCACCTGTAACGGTAGCGAGTAGTATTGACTCATTACAACTGGTGCACCCTTACCTAAGGACACAACTAATGCCTGGATGTGTGTGAGTGTTTGTATCCCTCCTGTGTGTATGTTATATCTGTGAATCTTGAAACATGTATTTTGCTTGTTTTGCACGTGTTTGTGTGTCCACACTGGATCTGTGTGCGGGTGCAGGCGCAGAGCGTAACTCCAGGGAGAGAGAGCGGGGCAGCACGTTGGCTGTGCCCGAGCAGCAGCGACCCGTCCAGCACCGCTCGCGCTCGGTGTCGCCTCACAGAGAGGACACGTGCAGAGCTCGGTCTCGGCCTGCACACGTGCCCATGCAAAGGTGAGTTACACCGGGGAGTTTTACCTGCTGAACTCTGAGTGATGATTTGGCAGGTGGGGGAACCCTAAAGAAAAGCTTGACGTTGCTTGTTAATTTGTGGACTGCATCTGCGAGGATTACTGCTCGACAAGTCCGCTGCTGCATTGTTCTGGTCACGGCAGATGGCTGCCCTCTTTTGAGCCTCTTTCTGTTGGTTTCTTCCTGTTAAAAGGGAGTTTTTCCTTCCTACTGTCGCTGCTCACAGGGTGTCGTCTGATTGTTGGTGCTTTCTCTCTGTTATTGTAGGGTCTCTATCTTATTCTCTAAAGCACTTTTAGCCAACTGTTTGTGTTATTTGGTGAGGATAAATACAAAATAAAACCAGTACCGGTACCAAATAAAAGAAGATTTATTCATAACACACAGGAAAAAGCCTTGGGAAAGTGTTAATGATAAAAGTTAATGAGTTAATGATAACAACGATTAAAAAAAAAAACGATAAAAACCCTGAAAACCATAAATTTCACACACGAGCCTTAACTCTCATGGCCCGGTACCGGGATGGGGGACCGCTGCACTAAACCATCTGAGATGTGACGTTACCAGATTCCCTGCTGGTTCTTTTAGTTACTAAATGAACATATAATAAAATATAAAATGCTTATTTTGTATTTTATTGTCACTATTTGAATTTAAGCAGAAATTAAGAAAAAAAATTGATTTAAAAAACCAAAATGAAGCTCAGGGCTCAGCCTGAGCATGGCTGCTGTGTGTAACAAATGATTTAACAGTAAAACTGTAAACAGTACAGCTGTGTAACGCAGGCAGGACAGGGCCCAAAATGCAGACTCACGGAGACGGGACCTCCAAAATACAGCTTTATTTACTGGGAGAAAAAGCGACACAAAACTAAAAAGTGAAACCTAAACACACGGGGAACACTGCTGACACGAATTAACGTGACGCCACAGGGGAAGCAGAACTAGACACACCGAACATGGAAGCCGGAGACCTTCACAATAAAACAGGAAACGGAGGAACATGACACAGAAATGGAGGAAAGGCAAAGAGGGAGACAAGAGAGACATGGCAGACTGGGGAAACATGGATAAACATGGGCAGGGGGGGACATAGAATGAAACAAGGGAAACAAGACGCAAGAACTCACACAACATATATACACACAGACACACAGAGAGAGACACAGAGGGCAAAACAGAGATGCTAAACAGAACAACCTAGGCACCGCAGATTAAACTCAAGACTACCAACGTGGACTTAACCATGAACCATAATAGAAAATGACTTGAAAATACAAGAACACAACACACTGGGTCAAATGACCCAGGCACACGACAGACTCTGTGTGTCACAGCTGGCCAGATGTAAAGAGTAGATCGTATTCACCATTCTGACAGATCCCATCCCAGTTTGGGGAATATTTAATGAATTTACTTCTTTGGAGACCCACATATGGATGCTTTTGATGATGCTGTCTATATATTTCAATAATTGGAACAGCTGGAAGAGACAAACCACCTCAGCTCTTGTTAACATTTCATTAACCCAGGGAGAAGCTGGCAGTGCAGCAGAAGTTCAAATCTAAAATGTTTGATTGAGTGCCGGGTCTCCACAACATGGGTCACATTTCATGGGTGGTTGATCTGGAGATTTTTTCTGCTTTTTTCCCACAATAATAAAAGTTGTACATCAGTGTCTAATCACACTGTCTTTGAACTTGGGTAATGTATCCTCTCTCCAGGAAAACGTCCAGGAAAACACATAAAACTAAAACTATAAAGCAGCAGAGAGCTAAATATAACCAATGCAGAATACGGAAGCATAAAACAATAATCAACAAAAATAATAAAAAATGTAAAACTACAAAACCCCAAAACATGCCAAACTCAAACCTCTGGGTCCAAGACTCAGGGACCTTAACTGATACGCTAAACAAATCTGTAAACCAGAAAACACCACAACAGAGCACAGCTGACAGAAAATCATTAGCTGTGTAAATTCCTGAGTTAATGTATTTATTTCCCTTTGCACGCTCAGGCTGCAGCTCATCTCAAATGTCAAATCGACATCTTAGAGCTCTGAAACTTCAAACTTTTAGCTATTCGGTGCGCTCAGCTCTGATACTGTCCCGAAGCCAAACGAAGAGTGACAAATCACTTGTGTGTGAAAGGATCTTTACTCATTGAATTTTTGGTGATAAATAACCAACAAATGGACTGATTGACTTTGTAATGTGCCCTAATCGCTCTTCTAGCTTGTGTTCAGCACAGCAGTTGCCATGGTGATCTAGCCAGGTTAAAAGGCATCCACCTTCCTGGTACTGAAAACTCTGACTTTAGGCTCAACATGCCCGAACAACACATTAATCTTGCTTTGCAGTGCAGGCAGCATTTACCTAGAACGTTTCAATCTCACTTCTTACCCCTGCTCATCGTGTCTCTACATCAAATCTTCAGTCAGATCTCAGTAAAGCGAGAATAAACATGATAAAGTCACAACTTTATAGTTATTTCATTTTATCGTATTTCCTTTCTTTTAATGACTGCACTCATTTTCACATTACATATAGAAATGACATGTTTTCTCATCATCAGGAGTTTGGATGAGATCCACCAGAACCGCCACCACTCCCACTCCCCCTCCCATTACCACGAGCCCCACTTGGAGCACCAACGCTCAGGTGACTCGGACTACGAGTACTCTGAGGACAGGTAACCTGCTGTTGGAATCTCCTGGGATCTTCAGGATGAGGGGCGGGGCAGTGAAAATCTCTTCTAGTTGACTTTTTTACTTGTAATAAAAGAAAGATTGACATGTGTCAGATCAATGGTTGATTCTCTAACAGCGAAACTGGCCATCATCAAACATGAACTTCTGGGGCTTTGACACAATTATATATATTTCTCAAAGGCTGAATATTGTTTTTGTTTATGTGTGTGTAATGTGATCTTGCCAAACTATTTTCTACTAATACTACTAACAGAGTGAAACTACCCATATGGAAAAGAAATAGAAAAAGAACTTGTGGTAAATGTTGAAGTTTTATGTGTATTTTAAAGTTTCGGGTTCCTTCACACAGAACATGGCATGTGCTGCACTTGCATCTGTAAGAATACTGGACCTCTGTTCTTCTTTGCATTAATTAAAAAGATTTGTTAGATATGTAGAGCAACAGAAAGGAACACTTAGGAAGTCTAAGCTGTGTTTACACATATTGTACGTCCACTCGACTGTTAAAACACACCCGTGTACTGCTGGTGCCGTGGTTCTGGGTTAGAGTTATGTACAAATAATTTCTTTATTTTCTCAGTTTTTACACTGATTCAAGTTTTACTTCCTGCTGTATCGCACGCACAGCACTGGTATTTGACTTCTGAGTCGCCAGATTGTGTCTTTCATGGTCAGATGGTCTTTTTGCTGTGAAGCAGTTTCTGGGAATCCTCGTGTGCATCTTGGGTTTCCTTGCATGTGGAGGTGTTTATGAACGACTTGGGTTTTTGGAGAGTTTCTTTTTTTTCCTTCCTCTTCTTAGAATTTTTTGCCCCACATGATGCAAATTTAGGATTAAGGATTTGGATTTGGGCAGATTCCACCACTTTGCTCTGTGTATAATTGAGTGAATTAGATGCTGGATGCTTTAGTTTCAGATTACAGCAGTGCAGTTATTGTCTCCTTTATATCTTTAAATCTGTTTACTCATAAAAGTGGCCTTTTTTGCAGTTTCTTCATGCAATATAATTGTAGGAAATTAAATCAAGTGCACATTAAATGTGTGCGAGTGTGGCTGTTTACATAGACAGTTATTTACACCGAATAGTCTCACGCTGATCGCGGCAAATTGTGAAAATACAACAACAACAAACGTTGTTGAGCCTTTTACGACACGTAATACTAAACTCTTCTAAGCTAAAGAGAATTTAACAGAACACGTGACAGCCCTGCTTGATAAGAACATGCCGCTGTTTCTGCCGCTGTGCTGACGATGTATTCAAACCATGCAGAGCATGAGCGGAGCAATGCTGTGCAAAAAGTTGCTGCAGTTCAGGAACGAACCTCAGTGAACAGGAATCAAGCTTATTCAAGCAAAGACACAGATTATTTTAGTTTCCACAAATACATCAACAGTGTCAACAGTGCATCTGAAAGGAAATGACACACTGTCACGTGTGGAGAGGAAGCAGCTGGTCGCTGTGCTTCGTGCCTCGTCACAATGGCGCCTGCCATACTATGTGCTGCTGCTGTTGATGATAATGACTCACAGAAACGTATTTTACTACAGTCCAAACACATAAAATGTAAAACTGCATTTATGTTTGCACAACCTTGCACCAAAAACATGATGGAAATTTCCATTTCGGAGCTGCAGACTCCAGATTCATTCTGAACGATCTCACCAGCGCCCATGTGAAACCTGCCCACAGAGTGGGAGTTGGTCAGTGTTTTATTCTTCCTACTGCAGCCACTGAATGTGGACGGTGTAGAGCTTTTCTACTGTTAAGCCATCATAGACAGTGCACAGCCCCCTTTTCATTGCAGATGCACTTTTGGACTCAAAATAGAAAGTGCACACTGTAGTGGCGTTGCATGCCACTTTCTTAAGAGTTGTATGTAAAACATGAACATTTACTACAGGAGTGTATGCACAGGTTTATTCTAAGTCTTTTCCATATGGGATTCTCTGCTGTTGAACGGAGACTTGATTGAAATCTCAGAATTATGATTTCCTGGTTTCTGTCATTCATAACTTCACTTTACCTGTCTGAGTTGCCATCCTCTTCTTTTGTGTTGTTTTTCATTTGTTCACCCATCGTCATGCCAATGACAGTGAGGTCCTGGAGATGCACAGGTCTATCCGGGGCGGGAGTGCCGAGTGCCTGCACACAAACAGGTAAAAAGAAAAAGAGTAGCTGTCATCATTTCCATTTTCACTATACTTTAACAACTCCATCTTAACTCTTAAAGTTGGCCTTTTTAATGCAAAAGGAACATGCTGGTTATGGTTGTGTCTGTTATTTCTGCTTTTCTGCACATGCATGAAGACAAAAGTGTGACGAGTAGTTGTAGCACACATAAATTCAACTGTCTCATAACAGTGTATGCGGGGATTTGAGCCCCGCTCGGCACCTGACCTCAAAGAAGGCAAAGCTTTGTGAATAATTTCTTTTATTTTGTTTTTTTTTTTTGCCTTGGATGTCTTCTCTACATAACAGCAGTTATGGATTGTCTTTCCACTTTTTTTCTTGTCTTCCTTTACGTGCATGACCTCCGCTCATACAACCAGGAGCATAGGTAGATACAGCAACACCCTCCCCCCCAAAATGCCCCTGTTAGTAAACGGTATCCATAAAGACATTTACAGGTAAGCTTTTAGCATTAAAGGCAGTCCTGCAAACCCTTCTCTGTGCCTGTCCAGCTTTCCCAGACTCATTTGTGGAGTTGGTGGGCCATTTATTCGTGGCAGTGATCTCTCAATGCAATAAATGCCCATATGTCTCCCAGGCCGCTGTGCTGATTGTGCGTGCTGTGGTCGGAGTGTGTGCCAAGTTGCTTTGTCATGGTGCCGCTTCAGTGAGATGTGTTGCTTTCCCATCTGCATTACACAATCTTTTACATGAGCACACTGCTAATCTTACACGTGTAGCCCATCAACTACAAATCATAAAAGAAACACAATTGGAGTAATTGCAGTTTCTAGTAACGCTGCGTGTGAGGGTCTAGCAGAGCTCACCTACTCTGCACACTTTGCACGGGCAGTTCACCTGAACCAAACAGTGAGTCTGGAGATATTCATGTGTGAAAACAGCTTGGGCTGACCAACGGGTGACCAAAACTTTTAGGGCCAAGGATCCATTTAGGGACACAAAAGCATGATTGTAACACCAGTTTAGCTATTTGCGACTTCCCCTTACTCGATGGTTTGGACGGACTGCAGAAACAAACTGAACTTGCTAAACTTTTAATTACTGTTGTTACTTTTATTTAACCAAGAAAGGAAACTCTCGAGATTAACACTCTTTTGCTAGCGTGTCCTAGACCAAGACAGGCAGCATTAATCCGTCTACTTTTTGGATGGATGGAGAAACTGAAGCTCCCAAAGAAAACCCACTTAAATTCTACACAGAAAGTCCCGTCCTGGGTTCGACCCCTTTTACTGCGAGGTAACAGTGCAGACCACTGAACATTTAAATAGCATTTTAACTCGATTTCTGTCTTCCTCCATGCTAATTAGAGCGCTGGCATGCTGTTGACATTGTAAGCACTGGCATTAGCATTTAGTTTAAAAGTGCTGTGGCTAAATGAAGCCGAGATGGGCTGTTAGCCTGTCTGTAGACCCTTAGGAGGCTTACAAACAAAAGAAAGTAGAAATGTGGAGAATGGAGATTGCTTAATGTTAAGAACTTTCACAGCTTGTAGTAATCTTATGCAAAACCATTGTTTGCCTCACAAAGTGTCCGCTTACCAGGTTAAACTTGGGGGCAGTGCCATTTAAGTGCGTACTAGCAAGGGCTTGTTGCCTGTTGTGTATTAGTATGAAGGGTTGCTCATAATGTCCACTAGTGACCAACTTTAACTAAAGAGCAGAACAAGTGGTTTTAGTCTTATTTAAAGGAACCTGATGTTTGTCTCCATCGAGTCTCATGAAAAAACCTGAATGATGTGAACAGCTGTAGCTTGGCTTGGGTTGAAGTTCCCAGAGTACCCTGATGATGACTGCTGGTTAAATGAAACCTGAGGATGCTTTGCAGCTGATGGGCTAAAACACACGAAGTAACATCATTTTTCAGATGCTGATGATGGAATCAGAGAGTGTATGTATGTAGTATCTGCTTACTTTCCCTTTTTCCTGCTTCTGACTGCTTTCACAGAACAGTAAACGCTCGTATATTTTTTGAAATATGCTATTTCAGTTTCTTTCCAAAATTTAAAAGCTAAAATGTATTCCACTCTGTATAACTTGGTGTAGCTTAGCCCCAAAAGTTTGAAAAACAGGGGGGAAGCATTCAAAAATCCTCACTTACAATCTGACTGCAGCAAAGATGGTAGTAAAGGTATAGCTCTTTAAGCAGATTCATTACAGTTGATTGGGGACATGCCCAGGTAACCAGTGCGGGGGAAATAGTGAGACTTGCTTCATGAAGGTCTTTGGGGGACACGATGGGTTTTATGTGGACATTTCATGTAGGAGCAGTTCCCTCCATTTTTGTCTGTTCTGCTCTGATAACAGCGCGTACATCCTATAGATCTGCTGCAGCTCGGTTTCCTCGCCACATGTCGCCTCTGTAGCTTTAGATTGTGTTACGTAATTGGTGTTACATGTAATCTTCCTGTACGTATGTGTGCGGGGCCAATCCACCAGAGAACAATCTCTACACTCGGCTCTCTGAAGTCACAGACTGCATGTAGCTCATCTCGTGGGCACGATGCTGCAGGAAGCCTTTTAATCGAGCTGTTACATAAGCTGTGGACAGGATGCATTAAAGCTACCCTGCTTTATGTTGCCATGTAAATGTTCTACTTCATTTGTTAATTTCATGTTGTTTCCCCTTCCTGCACTTATTTGGCTTGTTTCTCTCAGTTGTGTGTGTCATTTTTGTTTTCCTTTGCCTCTCTTTGCATGCGGGTCTTTCCCCACCCACTGTGGGCGGGGTTTCTGGCACACAGCTCCACCCTCCCCGCATGCCTAAAGAGCAAGCCGCCCCACAGGCAGGAGGGGGGCAGCGCCTTGCCTCGTAGCATCCTCACACACCGTGTGCTCAGGTTCACTGATGAGGTCACGGTTAGGTAAGAACACACCCACTTCACATGTCCTCCCACCATTGGTCCTCTTGCCACCCAGAACTGCTTCTTTTTCCCTTTGGAGCGTGTGCTGGTAAAAGCAGGGTGTTACTCTTAAGCTCTTGTTGCCGCCCGTGTCAGGCGTTTGGCCTCAAAGCGTCGTGTGCGACGTCATGCGATGGCAACGAGCCGGCCATCTGTTGATAGTAGCTGTTGTCAGCAGCATGATGTGACACAGCACAGACATGCAGCGGAGCTCTGCTCTCCTCGCTCACTCCCAGACACACGAATCGTCCCTTCTCCCATGTAGACCTGGTTCCCATGACAACCTCCCATCTGAGTGGTCTCACTCTGCGAGGCCGCGAGGAGTGACTGGCGGTGATAAATGGAAACACAGCATCAGAGCCATTACCGTTTTAATGCGCTGTCTCATGGCCTCCCTTCTTCTCTCTTTGTCTCTCACTTCTTGTTACCTTTCTTCTGATTTTCTCTGGATTTTCTTTGTCCCTCTTTCTCTTATCAACCCTCCCTTTTTTTACTTGCTCGCCTCATCCTTTCTCCTTCTCCCTCTGTGGTGGTCTCCCATCTTCACTCTTTGCCTTATTTTGTTATCTTTCTTTTGACTATTTCTGCTGTATCTCTTGTTCCCCTTCCCACTCATCATCCTTCTGTTGTCAACATCTTCATCACCTCGCCTCCTCCTCGCATCCTCTGTCCCTGTGCATCTCTGTTTCTCTCTCTGCTGCCCTGTTGTGGCGGTGCAGTGACCTGCAGCCGTCGTTGGACAGAGTGAGGAGCGCCAGCACCACGTGTCTGAGACCAGACTTTCACTCTACTGACAGAGACAGGTATCAGAAGAACATGCACACCATCACCTCTATCTGCACTCTTTTTCTGATGGAGTCATTCAACTTTTTGGGTGTTAGGATGCTGCATGTCTCCACTTCCCTTCACATCATGTGCCCCTTTCATACATGAGTAAATTTGCCATTATACACCCTCATTTAAAAAAAATAACCCAACTCAAACTATCTAGTTGTTTGCATATCTCAGTTCGTTTAACCTCCAAGACAGATGAAGGAGTTAAACAGGAACAGATAAGATTATAAACCACAAAGGTCCCAGCAAGCGTAACTGAGTGCAGCTTCTCTCAGATATTATTTGCAGATATGCTTATTCAGTTTCTTCCCAAGAGTCATATACTAAGATTGATTCCACCCTGCAGTCAGTAAACAGAAAAAATGGCAACATGGATACTGTGCATTTATTATTTATTTATTTGCAAATAATAAGGTGAGGATAAGGAGAGAGATCGGCCAGTAAATCAACAGCTTCACCTTCACACTCATCCCTTTCTGTACGTCTCTACCTGAGCCAGTAATCCACCGTTTCCCATTGGAGAATCCTGGCCTCAGACTTGGCGATGCTATTTCTTATCCCAGCTTCTTCAAACACAGCTGCAAACTGCCCCATTGTAAGCTGGAAATCCATTGAGCAGGTCCACATAGCCGCAAAAAGCAGAATCACAAAAAGCTGACAATCGCTGTCATCTTCACTGCACATAGAAATTCTGTCCGCACCGATTATCATGAGCCCTGGTGGAGTCTGATTGCTGGTATAACTGCTGACCGAGCTCTTGTTAGGAACATATAGGGATGTAACAGCTGGTGACACCATGTTTGATCCTCTGTAGTCTGTGAGGAAGGTTTAATTTTACAGATGCAACAAAAACTGTGTTATTATAATTCTAGTTCTTCTGGTATTTTTACCACCGTGTCAGTTTGTTTGCTCACAGAAACGTGTCTCTGTGGAGCTTTTACCTGATGTTGTGCCATGAAGTTGAAAGCAGCCTTCACTGTCCCTTTCCTCACTAACAACCTCTCTCCCACTGGGATGCTCCTCCTCCCTCCCACCTTCCCACCCCTCCAGGTGTTCCAACTCTTTGCCCCGAACGACTCCCCCAAGCCCCAGGATCTTAGTAGAACATGTGGCCCCTGAGGAAGACAGGTACACCGGGTCCACCCCCCTGTGCCGACCCCTGACACGCTGCGGTTCTGCTTGCCTGCTCATACGTCCCTGAACTCTCACTTGAAAGCCTATCCTGTAGCCTGAAGCTTGTCCTGTAGTGATATGTACATCGTAGATCTTGTGATCAGCACCGCTTCCAACCCTTTTCCTGTAAATATTTGTTGTCTAAGGCTGTATAATCTCTCCTTTGTTGTGCTGCACCTGCTTCTCTCTTCTGAATTTCTTCACTTCTCTGGCTTGAAAGCACTTTTGCAGCTATGCAGCTTCCATAAACCAATAGAAAGACTGAGTTTGAACCTTTTTATAGTATTTCTTGCCCAGAGCTCAGTTGGGCCATTCTCTGCATCGCCATTTTCCACATCGTGTTTGTTTTTCTTCCTCTCTCTCTGTGGCCGCTGTGTGCCAACACAGGCAGTCTAACAGTTCTCCAGGTCCAAACTGTCCAAAGGGCAGCAGAAAAAGCCTGGAGGGGGACAGGTAAGCTCATTCATTCATTCATTTACCTGTGTTTCCACCTCATTACCCTAATCCCTTCCTTTTTCTCCAGAGGGATCATATTTAACCATCTGTTCCTTTTGGTCATGTGTGGAATTTTTTTTTCTTGTTCAAATCTAAGAAATCCTCAGAAAGACCTTAGATATAAACACATTGATCCATATTTGTGATTTGTTTTGTACAGTAAATGGAGCTTCGCTGACAAAAACTGGGTTTCTTTGTTTTATATGTTTGGAATTAAGCAAGAAAAAAAGCCTTTTTTTAATAATCGAGAAGCCAAACTGACTTTTTATTGTCTGTGCAAAGTTATGTTTGTCCAATCTTCCCTTCAGTGTTGTGTACTTGCACACCTCTGGATTGCTTCAGGCACACATCACAAAAAAGAGCCAAACTTTTCTCTCAAAGACCTTGCACAATGCACAAGTCAGGAAAATTCAAAAAACAGTGAACATGGTTCTGGCTCGGACCCTGCTGACTTCTCTGCTGAAGATAGAAGGCTATTTGGGAGGGTGTAGTTTGTTTGTTTTTTAATCATCTTAAACATTAAAGTACAGTCAGTTTGACCCAGAAGATGATGCTCTCCATCTAAACTCTACGGTGAAATTAGAGATCAATGATCTGAAAATAGAGCTGAAGATAGAGGCAGTGCTGAAAGCGGTTCAGAGGTGCATGATGACACGGCCTTGAAGAACAAAACAGATAAATTTAACTCTGGTCAAGTTTTTGATTGTTTTCTTGTATTATATTAGGATTTTCTTTACATTTCATAATTGTAATATGTTAAGCCCCGCCTTCTGTAAGCTGACTTTTTCTGATTGGCTGCCCCTTTAGATTAAAAACAAAAAAAAACTGCAGGTGGGCCGATTAGACCATGATTAATATGACCATCCACCACTGAAACAGACTGTTTGTGTTGTTTTGAGTTGCTATCTTTCTGTTTTTATTCCTTTTTATTTGCTGATGGCAGTCGCATCCAGCCCACCTCTATCCTGAGGGGCAGTAGAGGGAGAGGAGGCCCTCTGAGGCCCTTTGGCCAGACAGTCCTGTCAGGGTCTTGTCCTAACTCACCACGGCTGGACAGGTGCATGCTGTTGCCAGAGCCCCGCCTCCCCTCACCTGGTTTCCTCTCTGTTACACTGAGTGCACAGATACTACCTATATCAGCCATATCCCAGTATGATCTTTATGATATGTTGCTCACAAGTGATGTGATATTTTTATAAATTGTCTGTACATAAAGTATTTGAAGTATTTTGGGGATCTGTAGAAATACTCAGACACACTCGGTGAATCTTCCTTTGCTTCTCCTGCAGCTTCATTGATGATTCTGATCAGTTTCTCTCCTATCTTGACCTTTGACCTTTACCATTGACCCCAGTTTGTTGCTTCTGTGACTGAGTGTTGGGTCTCACTTGAATGAGAGATTAATCTCTTTATCATTATATGTATGTATAACTAATTTTCGCACCTCCTTGTGTGTTCATGTCCTGCAGAGCACACCCTTATGGCAGCCCGACTTCCCCAGCGGGGACTCCCTCATCAGGTCGCAGGGGCAGGCAGCTCCCTCAGCTCCCCGCTAAAAGCAGCAGTATAGAGCAAGGTGCGTTGTGTGTGGAGAAAAATTCATAAGAAAAAACATGTATCGCTACAGTTTGATAGTTGTAATCATTCGCATCAAACTGTTGTCAAAGTGAATAACTAAAAGGATTTTTAAATGCATCAGGTTTGTCCCATTACTGGACCAGTGACATCAGAACAACAGCCCTGCGCCGTCACCTCAGTGTGTATTATAGTGGCGTTTGTCAGATGTCTGCTTCACACCCTGAAATTTAGGAAAACACGCCCCTTCACAACAGTAACCGAGCTTATTGACAAATGAAAAGTGCATGAAGGCCAAAGCACACCTTGTATTGTTCTTTGACTGACAGCAGTTTTGATGAGTAGCACTTATTGACACCCTATGATTAGAACGGGCTAAAATTATAATAATGAGTAACTGTAGTGACTGAACCTGTTTTAAAATTCTGGATTGCAGCTCTACCAGCTTCAATGCTGCACCCTTAAAAGTTAAACCCTCTAATTATGCTCACATATTGTGTTTTATAGCCAGGTACTGGGACCTCCAGGTTGAAAAGGGTTAACAGCCTTTAAATTGTCAGTGCAGAGGAGTGCTGAGTAGATAAAACTCATATGCACTTATGTAGGCTGCGCTCATGTTTGACTCTATGCCCACAGCTTCAGTGCCTTTAAGGTTTTTTTGGCCTGAATTTTGTCTTTCATCTGTCGGATTAGGACGTTTAGCGTACAATAAATCTCTGTGTCCTTCTCACCAGGAGTGAGATTTGAAAATTACATGATGCCATTTGAAGGACTGTAAAAATGATCAACTGCAGTGTTGGGTCACTTCAAACAGCAGAACTGAAGCATGACAAATGGTCACTCTTTAACCCCTCAAGCCCGGCGCTATTAAATTTCACCTGAAAGACAATATCTCCAATTTCTGTCACCAACAGCAGCACAACAGTGAAGGATTAGGATGTGGAAATGCATATAATGAGTCTCCACATCACAATCACCAGGCTGGAGTGAAACGTTCAGCCACATTCATTTAAAAAAATCCTGTTTTAACAATTCGCAGCTGTAATTCTTCCAGATTTGACTCAGCAGGAAAAAAATTCAGTCATAGTTTAGTCAGTTGCACTGGCTCTTGTTGTTTGTGTTTTAATGACCTCTGGGGTCAAAAGGGTTAATTTATTTTTTAAACTCTCAAAAAAAGAGCCTGAAACACACAGTTCAGGGCAAAACAACAAACCTATCAAAAATCCCTGAAAGCAGTTCAGGAAGCTGTCAGCATAAAGTAAGTGCATCAAGATTTCTGTCTGCTCAGCACTCCTTTGATTGAAAAAAACAATATAAACAGTATGAAAACTGTGGAGTTTTCATACTGTTTAGAACTGTAGGTGTAGAGCAGAGTGTGCAGGGACAACACTGCACCGTTAATGAAACCGATTTAGCTATTACATGTAAGAGAGTTCATAAAGTCAGACTGAATGTGAAACTTTTATTTGCATTAACTGCTGAAGAAAAAATGTCTTTTTATGTCTGTTTGATATAATAATCAGATAGTGATTGTATAATTCAGTCAGTCTTATTTTAGTATTTTTGATCCACTTTCACTTGTTTTATTAACATTACTGCATTTCACTATTTATACAAACTCAACATTTCCTGGTGGTTTAAAATTAAAACCTTCACAGGGTTTCACTGGACTAAACATTACATGTCTTAAAAAGACTTTTATTTTGAAACATTTGTGGAAAACTCATACATTCAACTCATACCTTATTTCCTAAAAGGTAAAGATGTATTTAAAAATGATAAATTCTGTTATTTAACTAGAGAAAAGGTGGTTGCGAAAAAGTGAGTTGCGGACTTAAATACAGTATCAAACAATCAGCCTTTAATGGCGTCGATGCAGGAAATAGCAAAGTCTAAAATAATCCAGAGCATATGCCAAACAGAGCTACTGCAGGGAATAAGTTACCAGAAAACTCTAGAACGTCCTCAAGGACACAGAACGAGGATACAAACAGCAAAAAGGGACAACTGAACAAAGGACAAGGGGAGAGTGAGACAATATATTCATAGAAGGGTGAGTAAGAGTGGAGACACCTGGGAGACACAGCTAAACCAAACAAGCTAAAACCTACAAGTAATGTCAGGGACTAGAAAGAGAGAGCATATTTCCCCACATGTTGTCTTCACTTCTTTGGCTTCCTGTTAAATCCAGAATCAAATTTAAAAGGTCCCGTCTTATCTTAATGACCTTGTAGAACCATATCAGCCCATTAGAGCACTTCGCTCTCGCTCTGCAGGCCTACTTGTTGTTCCTAGAGTATTTAAAAGTAGAATGGGAGGCAGAGCCTTCAGTTTTCAGGCCCCTCTTCTGTGGAACCAGCTTCCAGTTTGGATTCAGGAGACAGACACTATCTCTACTTTTCCTTTTTTGATAAAGTATACAGATAAGGCTGAATCAGGTGACCCTGACTCCTCCTTTATGTGCACTGCAATAAGTGTAGGCGTTGGGGGATTCCCATGATGCACTGAGTGTTTCTTTTTCACTCACTGTGTTTTTATACACCTCTCTGCATTTAATTATGAGTTATTATTAATCTCTGGCTCTCTTCCACAGCTTGTCTTTATCCTGACCCACGACCATGACAGTATTATTCTTAAGTTTAATTTCTGCTGCATGAAATTAGCTAGATTTTAAGACTTTATCAGACTTTAAAACATCAGTCACTGTCTGGTAGATTTCTCAGCACTCACTTGCCTGCTGATGGCACCAAGAGTCTTAGTATATTTCCAAATTCTCTCAAGTGGCTCTTTTTCCAAAGAGCTCCGGGTTGTTGGTGTTCTCACAGTTGTGGCGTTTAGGAATATGCGCTCAGGTGGGAATTTATTTTTTTGTGCAACTCTAAAATGTAAAATAAGTTTAACAGCTGTTTGATTGAAAGCATTAACTTCAGGGAATTTGGTTTTAGTCCCTCTAAAACTTTAGCCTATGTCAGTTTTCCTCACTTTCCAGTGCTATTACAGTATATGTGTGTCCTTCTGGTTCACATTCACTGGTTTTCTCTGCAAAGATAAATTTTTAAACACTAAAGTAGGATTTCACCTAACCATAAATCCAAATCCGGCATTCCCAGAAGACCTGGATTGGAATTTGAAATTTATACTTTTTCAGTGCAGATCTAAAGTGTCTTTGAGTCTTCCTGATGGAGTTTCCAGTGCACATAATGCTCCACCTAGTGTCAGAACCCATGTCCTGCATCCACAGGAAACACTATCCAATTAAAACACGTGTATTTTATTTTTCTTCATGGGTTTTGCTTTTTTCTCAGTGACATGCTTTTATCCATATCCTTTGTCTTTTTAAAAATGTTGTGCCTCAGCCCTCGCAGTGGAGGAGCGAGCCCGACAGCTGCAGATGAAAGTACATTCCTACCGGCCTTCAGCCTCCCATGACCCTGAGACAAACCTCAAGACCAAACGGGAGGTGAGTGTTTGTATTCGCTGCTCACCTCTTCCTTCTGGACTTTATAAACAATGTATTTGTTATTTATTCGTCCTCAGTTTGAACAAATGTACTGAGCTTCCCACCCTCCTTCACTTTACCTCCATCTTTAGATGTATGCAGAACAGAGGCGCAGCAGCGACAACATGTCGGCCAGATCTTCAGACAGCGATATGAGCGACGTGTCGGCGATCTCCCGTGCCAGCAGTGCCTCCCGCCTCAGTAGCACCAGCTACATGTCTATCCAATCAGAACGGCCCGGGGGACGACTCAGGTCAGTTGTGACTGTAAAGGCTGCTTTTTAACACCACAGCCATCATTTTTAATACTCTAATTAAACCCAGATGTCGGAGAAGTGCATGCTGATCACAGTCTGTCTTTCCTTTTCTTGCACGCCACTTGCCGTTGCATGTTTGTGTCCTTCTGCATGCTCTGATTCTTCCACCCACACGCACGCAAACACATGAACGCACAAACACACATAACTCAGATCCAAGTCATTAGAGGAGGACAAGAAGGACAGGAGGATCTCGTGGGGGGTGGATGGAGAGGAGGAGGAGAACGAAGGTGGAAAGAGGCAGTTCTCCGAGGAGCTGAAGCACAGGAGACACACTGTGGCAGGAGACACGAGAGAGTCCAGGTAAAGAGTTGTCACACGGTGAATCCACCCATGATGGCAAACGGTCCCTCTGCTCACTGCACAACTAGGTCCACATAGACCTCTCAAGTCCAAAGAAAGGCCGTCAGAAGCTATTAAAGGTGGAAACATAAGCAGTTTATATAGAGGTGGTTTATTATAGTTTATTGTAGATGTAGATGTGGAACCTTTCTTTCTGGAGAAAGAAATCTCCAGTGAAATCTCCATATTTATGGGTAACTCCTGTTACCCATCTGCAGTGGCTTTAACAACAAATTAGGAGAACTAGATCACAAACATAAGGCCCGGGGTCCAGGATCAGTCCGGCAAAGACTCCACCCACTGGGTGGCTTTGAAAAAAGTGAAGGAACATTTTTGGATCACCAAAACATTTTCTGTAATTTTACACATTTATAAGAGTTCATTTATTACAACAGCATTTCTCTATCATGTTTGTTTATCACTGTGACACAATGAGCACTTTGGCACTTATTTTTCTAGGATATCTGTAGATCTAAACATCTATCTATAGATGTCTCAAAATATCTCAAGATTAAAAGTGTAGATAAACCTCTTAATGCTGTCAGAAAGGTCAGAGTTCAAAGTTTTAGACATCCCTGAACTAGATTTCACGTTGCTGTAAGTGATTTTTTACATTCTCCAGTTGTAAAAATGTGCAGCCTGAACACTGAATTTTATACCCCGTGTCTGTCAACTTATCCACTTCATGTTGCTGAACGTCAGAAGCGGCGGTGAGCGTGGATGTAAACACCTGAAAGTCCAAGTCGAGAACAGAAAATTTAACAGTGTGTGAGCAGATTTGTTTGCTTTAACCATCAACCCGGCGGGCTTATGTTTGATCTGAGCCTGGACTTAAAATTAAACTCTGTTACTGTTCAAGCTATTAGCCTGCTAAATCAAATAGTATACTTTTGATTCATTTCCATAAAAACAGGTAAGCACTCCAAGTCAGCCTCAACATGTTAAGATATTTTTCTCCACCTAAAAGTTTTTTCTCTGTTATTAAGATTAAGATAACCTTAGGGTGCTGCAAACACACATTTAAAAAAATGTCCTTTTGTGTTACACAGCTTGATGACTTTTAATCACGTTAACAGCATTAGTCCCATCTGTGGTGCTAATCATTATTCCTCCCTGAGCCATAGGTGGATTCAAAAGTCAGCACCAAGACGAGTTCCACATAAATCGCTAACACAAACACGAGTTGCATAATTCAAAATTAAGCACCAGCTGAACTAACACTACACATTTGGGAAAATAAGAAGCTGAGCCAAAAGGATCAACATCAGTTGACCTGAGACGGCTAAAAATAGAGGGGAAAAACAACCGATTAAAAAAAAGTGAAAGGAACCTTTTTTTAGGAAGAGGGTACTAGGAGGGAAAGAGTCTGTCAGATCTCACTTTAAAATTTATTTTGAAAGTAGATATTTAAAACGTTTCTTACTTTCTGTCAGTTACATTCTGTTAAAAACGGCGGCCAATGTTTCAAGTCATGAGGTCACTGTGTAAGTAATTCCTGTCAGCCAAAAGTTCAGACTTAAGGCTGCTTTAAAGCTCAATTACAGGCTGTTTTTTCTACCCTTGGATTTGTATGATGTCACAGAGAGCAGATAACCTAATATGGTCATCTTAATCACAAAGCTCGGGGTGTGAACAGAGACGTCCCACCAAGCTGCTGTTGAATTCTGCAGCCGATTGGAAGAAAGTTTTCTAAAACAGAGGAAAAGGGAGCTTAAATGGGATGTTTCAGACAGAGGATGAACTGAAGGAGGGGTCCAGCAGAGGACGAAGGAGGTACTGTGAGTCATACAGAGCTACTCTAGTTGAATCCAAGAGCAAAAATATGCTGGAAGTAAGTGAAATAGAACCTCTTTCAAAAGAGACTTTTTTAGTCTCCTTATATACAGCTACACACACACACACACACACACACACACACACTTACTTCAGCAGCTGACCAGTAACAGACTGCTGACAAGGACAAATGACCCCATCTCACTGCTCCACAGTGAGCCAGGTGATGATGTAGTGCAGCTTATTAGCTGGCTAATGTATTGAGGTGTGAGAGAAAAGAGAAAAAAGGACGGGCGTTCTTTACACAGATCAATCCAAACCAGGTTTTTTAAAAGCAGCTCGGACTCGGATGTCAGAGGCTTGTATGTTAGGAATAGATTATTTTCTTTATTTAGTTTATCACCAGTAAAACAAAAGCAACCACAGTCACATGCACAGAGCCAAAAGTATGTGGACAGTCACATTAGCTCCGTCAGCAGGCATTAATCAGATTCTCTGAGCCTTCACTCTTCTGGGAAGACTTGTTTGTGGGGATTTTTTCCCATTCAGACACATTAGTGAGGAAGGCCGAGCCTCGCTCTCCATCAGTGCTTCTGTTCATCCCAAAGGCTCTTTACTCCTCTACCTACAATCATTTTGTTATGGACCCATTTGTCCAACACCAAACTCGCTTTATCGTTGCAGTTTTTAACCTTAAGATTTATCTTAGGAGGTGCTAGCTTGAAACGAGCCCTGTAAGTATAAGAATCTCAACTTGAAAACAAACTAATCCAACCTTTAATAGTTTCAGGGCCAAAATGAACAAACTGGGATCTATGAGTCAGAGAGAGAAAATTCTGATGTACAGCATCCCCATCTCACTGATGTGTGAAAAACTCAACACACATTGACACATCTGCCTAATCAAACTGGAATATTAAAGTAAATAACAGCCTTTAACAGTGAGTCAGTGACACTGATGTCACTGACTCACTGTTAAGAGCATTACCTGAAAAAAAGAAGTTACTGTGTAGCACAGAAGCACACTAATTTTAATCCTTCAAAAAATGAGGTTTGCATATTAATTTAAGACACAGGGGTCCGCTTATTTTTCCCATGGGCTGCACATTCAAACTCAAAATTACAGAGAGGAAAAATTAGATGTGCAAAAGAAGAAAAGAATGTATTACTGAAAGATAAAAACCACCTGGTGTGGTGGTGGTGGTGGTGCATTTTGCAGTTAAATTCCTGTCCTGCAGCAACTCCGTCAGTATTTGTGGAGGTATTTCCATATTTCAGTTTCACACCTTCGAGGTTCTGGCTTACATGCAACCACTTGATGTGAATTTCTGCTCTGTTGCCATCTAGATAACAACAGATTTGCAGCTTTTGCTGATTTATCACAGTTAATTTCCGTATCACAAACAGATTCCATGTAATTGCAAACTTGACCCCATTCAACTGTAAACTGGTAGCAGACTGACTCCATCTAATTGCAGAGACCACAAGTTCTTTGCACACAGTCGCACATTTTAACAGTCCGTGGGGAGCGACTCACTTTCAAATCAGGCCTTGTGTAGCTGGTAGAGGAACTCCGGTTTTTGGCTTAATTGTGGTAATGCTGCACAGTCGGTGTACTGGTTATGCATTACCGGGTAATGCAGGAGCCATTTTGACATTGTTTAGCCTTCCGTTGGGAGTCCCTCAGTGTTCGAAAACAAGAGAGGTCTAGTATTACAGTGAGGCTTTCAGATTTTCATATCCCGTTGTTTGCATGCTGGAAACAAAGAACGCGTGTAATGGACTGAGCAGCATTTTATTCAGTTCAAACACAGAGTTGGATTTTAAAAGCAGACAGTGGAGTCAGACTACATTTATAAAAGCTGGTCAGTGTCAGAAAGCCTGTAATGTGTTTTTAGACAGAGGGTGGGCAGGAATTAGTAACGAGTTGATGCACATCGACTGCAGGCCGCGGGTCAGTTTTCACTCAGAGCTGGATATTAATGCAAGCATTCAGTGGATATTTTCACGTCTCCTCCAGGCCGCTTTGATGATGGCTTGTGGAAGTGACTGAGTGCATACAGAGGAGATTAGACAGTCTTTACATCTTTTTCTGTTACAGCTGTCCTTTAACCTATCCTTCCTCTTTAATTCCCCCACATGTTTGATGTAGTTCTCCTTCCTAATTCCTAATAATTGATGAGCTGCTGCTCATTTAAGCTTTTGTGAGTCCTGCCTTCTACTGCATTTGTTTGCATAGACGTTTGTGGTCAGACACGCTGACATTTCAGAATAAAACCACACAAACAGACAAATGCATAAATTTTCCTGCTGACATTTTAAAAATGAGCTGGAAAAAACACACACACACAAATCACAAGCCTTTTAGCCAAAAACAGCAAATGTGATTAGACTGATTTTTTTCCCCTGTGCCTGTTTATATGTGTTTGTGTTTGTGTAATCCTCCTCGCATGTCTCAGATCCCTCCTTGCATGCATCCTGTGCTGTGACTGCCTGGACCCCCTCCACCCTCAAGACCTGGATCCTCCCCTTCCACCCTACCCCTGTTCTACACGCCCTTCTCTAACTCCCCTGCAGGGAGAGGTGGAGAGGCCTCAAACCACCCTCCCGCTTTCTCCTCTTGGTCACTGGGCTGTAGCTGTCAGGGACCCACAGGGAGCGGAGAGTTTGGGTGATAGGGGCAGCGTAGCTGGACTCTCTTGCAGTACTTTGGCCCCCTCTGAGCTGATGGACATGCGACAGCTCCTCCGAATCCCTAGGAGACAGCATCGATTGCTGGACACGTTCTGTCCGTGTGTAGTGGCTTGTTTAAGAAGACTGAACTTTAATAGATAATATGCTCAGCTATAAACTGCTGGAACATTCTACTTCATTTTTATTCTCTTTTTTTGAGGGTTTCACAGCACAGCTCTGTTACCAACCACTTATGATTTGGCTTCGATTATTTCAGAAGTGTCTAAATAGGGAAGAAAACATAAAGGGCCAAACATATAGTTCCTTTATATGAGTCAAATGATTAGGAATGTAGATGTCACTTAAAAGCCTATTATAGTTAACTTACAAGGAAAAATGTGACAAATAAAAACTAGACAGGAGAAAAAAACAATTAACTGAAACTATAATTGGAAATTAAGTTTTAGTCTTAAAACTTAATTTTAATGTGCTCAGATTGGTCAACAGAGCAGACATGAGGCTAAACGACATGTTTAATGACATTAAAACTGTAAGATGTCAAGTTTGGCTTGTAAAGCTTGAGTTTTGACTCATGTGACACGTTGATGATTATACTGCATTTCTTTTCTTTGGGACTCCAGACTTTTATTTGATGCTCTTTTATTAAACACGCTCCCTCAGCAATGTTCGTCATCCCCACCTCCCATCAGTCATGCTGTTTTTGTTGTTGTGCCACAGTAAAGGTACAGTACACTCGAAGTAAAAGAGAGCTTAATAACAACATCTATCAAACACACCAGGTCACAAAGTCACGCTTCGCCTTCTCTCTCCAGTCGGCAGATGCGAGCGTCCATGGGCCGCAGCATGCTGAAGAGTTCCAGCGTGAGCGGAGAGATCTACACCCAGGAGCGCACAGACGGCAGCCAATCAGACACGGCGCTGGGCACGGTGGGCAGCGGCAGCAAGAAGAGACGCTCCAGCCTCAGCGCGCGGGTGGTGGCCATCGTTGGCAACCGTCGCAGCCGCAGCACGTCGCAGATCAGCGGCCCCGGTGAGTCGGCGGTTTCAGGGATTTGCTGGAATTTCATAGGACTGTATTTAAAAAAAAAACTTAAAACTAAAGATTTTGGACCATGTTAGTTTTTTGGAAGCAGACATGACAATATTTAGAAAAGAGGGTGGAGATACCTAACATCCATAACATCCATCTGCTGTATGTCACTTTCCAAAAGCTTTCTCTAATCTGATTCCATCCTCTGCTAACCTGCATTCTTTTTTCCATTAAAGGTACAATATGTAAAGTTTAATTAAATGCATGATGTAATCTGTAAGATCTGACTTCTTGAGGAATGTTAATGAGCGAGGAAGTCTCTCACGCCTCAGAATGATATTTTAATAATGCAAGAAGTCCCAACCTGATTGAAGAGGGTTAATATGAGAAAGCCCGCTGGCTCTGTGGACACACACTGCATTACTGTGCTAATCAGCTCACTGAGATCCTTTCTGCACTTTCTCAGAGGTGTGCAGAGGGTGGCAACATATCCAGTATATGGAAAACATCAACTGTAATGCCTGTTCCAAAATCCGAAGTAACCAGTTCAGACCAGCTGCACTTACATCCTTTGTCGTGAAAATCTTTGAAAACATGACGTGTGCTTAATTGGTGATAAACTAGATTCACTGCGGTTTGCTTGTCTAGTGGGCAAAGCTCTTCATTCTAGACAGCGCATATAAGAATCTTGAAAACCAAAATCTTACATGGGAGGTTTATTTGCAGATTTTTCTTCCACGTTCAATGAGATGAAGTCCCGACATTACCCGATCACATTTATTGTTGCTTTTCATTTTTTTAACTGACAGAGTTCAGTGGGCTTTTGGAAATGCCTGCATGCCCAATCCTATTATCTCAAACTCTGGCTCCCCACAAGGCTAAGTCGTTCTCCTCTGCTTTTTATCATGTGCACAGACAGCTGCACGAATTCTCAGTGGGGCAGATTTCTGGTCAAGTTTTCTGATGACACTGGGCTGAAAGTCAGAGCACATTGGTGCTTTGCCTGCATTTGTCAAGTGACAAACTTCTTGCCTTTAATTTGACTTAAACTAAGGAATTAGTGAATTTGATGCAAGCAATCAAAAAGCGTGGAGACAAAACCCAAACGCAGACAGACTCAAAGAAACTGAAAAGACGCCTTTAATTTTATAGGTGTAGAGTACCAAAAGAGTAAATACTCACTCCAGAGGTAACCAAGCAAACTGGACAGAGCTGAAAGTAATTAAAACAACAAGGCAAGTAAAATTAAATACAAAACACAAGTAGCAACCAGCTACCAAAATAAAACAGGAAACGGAGACTTAAGATGCCAAAGGACACCGGGGTGGTTAGACCAACTTTAGCACAAACGTTAAGAACAGAAACAATTCAAACACTAACAGAAACCACATTACAGAGGTAATAAGAGCTCAAAAACCTGAAAGCAATACACCAATAATTCTAAACAATAAAAGTCACAACTAAAACCAAAACAGAGGATTTTTAGTGATTCTAAAACACAAAACTCCAGGACAGTGACACAAACACACAGTCAGTGGTTCAACGAGGACAACAAAGAATCGACTTGTTGCAGAAGCTGAAGTCTTTCAGTGTTTCCTTTAATATTTTCCTTCTTGTGCTGGTTCAGTGGGTTGTATATGAAGGACAGACACAAACTTTGCAACATTAAAATCTTTGTCAAGATTATTTGAGTCCAGTTAAAAAACCCGTGCTCACCTTGGAAGAATCACACGGTTCATTTTTCTCAAGTGAATTTATTTTATTGTCCTCAGGTCGGCACTGTCATGCTTCTCATGCATAATAGATGCATGAGAAGCAAGCTACTCAGATTCCTTCATACCTTCTTTCTAGGGGTGCAACGATATTCGTATCGATATTGAACCGTTCGATACAGTGCTTTCGGTTCGGTACGCATATGTATCGAACAATACAACATTTGTAATTTATTTTATCAACTTTCCTTCTGACGATGCTGTCTGTGTTGAGCGCTCAGTGAATCTGCGTTCGACTACTCCGCCTAGGCTGCACTGTCGAGCGCAGATCCACTGAGTGCTCCACACAGACAGCATAGTCAGAAGGAAGAGCGCAGGGCACCTCCCCCACCCTCATTCAGATCTGGCGTTTGGAACTATTTTGGTTTTCATGTGACGTATGACCCTGAAGGTAAGCGAGTCATGGACTAAAGTAAAACAGTATGTTGGATGTGCCATGCAATGCTCAATTACATGGGTGGGAACTAGTGTGTTAGCGCAGTTAGCTCGTTAACGTGTTAGCCGTCTAGCCCCATGCACGGGGCGATCGGCGGTAGCTTGTTAACGGAGATTTGCCGTTGTGGTGTTAAGGTCATTTCGACGAGATTAACCTGAAAGCACTAGCGGGAACACGACGAATATGACTGCACATTTACGCCGACATCATCCTAGTGCAAAGACAAAAACAACAAGCATGCTACTAACTTTAGCCGAGTCATTTAGACAGCTGTTTAATATGCTGCTGAGAATATAGCCCAGAAGAAGCGGATAGTATAACTTTTATTTTGGAAAGAGACATTTCTCTGTAATAAACTCTCTTTTCCAAAGATGAGTGATTCCTCAATCAGATACAGGGCTTGCAATATCGCTAGCCTGACATCCTGGGGCTAGCGATTTTTTCAGTCGGGGTACCAAAATCTATCTCTGCCCTGCCCGTCGGGCTATTGTAGGAAAAATATATGTCAATGCTTTTGCATTCTTTCGGAAATGTAGCTGGGTAATTATGTCATTGGCATCGGTGAGCCACTGTCAATATGTGACATATTGAAATCGCGTTTGAATTTGCGCTTGTTTTTTTGCTTTCACTTTGCAATCGTGCGAACTGTGTATAGAGAGCGACAGCACTGATCTGTGAGTGATGATAATTTGTGCACCAATTCCTCTGACATCGTCTTATTAATCGTTAGCTTACTATGCAAACATGACAAGTGAAATCTCCCGCAGCAAGCTTAAACATGTGAGAGGTTGATCGCGCAGAGAATCGCTGAGCATTATGTGAGTGCGTGTGTAAAAGCATTTCAGTTCTGCTGAGCCAAATAAGACAGGTCAGGGTGAAGAAGTGACAGCCAAAGAAAAGCTTACCACAAAACGGAGAAGTTATGACAAATCAGACTATAAGGCAAAAAGAAAGTGCAGCTTTATGGTTTCATGGACAAAAGAATTTCTGTGGCTGCGATATGACGAGCTATATAACCAGGGCTGCACATAAGTGGTCCGCAGGTGCGCATTCGCTGTCAAAATAAAAAACACGCACAAGGGTTAGGGTTAAATTTAAAAACTGTACTTTTGAGTTAAAATATATATTTATAATTTTAATAAATGACAAATTAAAAATGCATGAACATTTTTTTTGTATCGAAAAAATATCAAACCGTGACACCAAAGTATCGAACCGAACCGTGAATTTTGTGTATCGTTTCACCCCTACTTCTTTCTTTGAGCTGCTAAATGTGAAGAAAAGTAGTTTGTTCTTCTAAATACAAGTCCCTGTGGGGGCAGTTATGCTGTGAGATTTTAACGTTGAGCTGCTCACTGACAAACTGAATGCTGTGCATGCTGGATTGTGACTTCTATGTCATTATTTATTGGGCTCTTCCCAAAAGAGCTACACAGGCCCGCTCTCTTGTGGGCCTGCTGCCTGCAGGAGGGGCCACAGGGCTTCGGTGCTGTGTGGATTCTCTTAGTGGGTGGAAACGCCTCGGTGTCCTTCCAAAAGAGCTGGGGGGCAGGGAGGCAGAGGTCTGGGGATCCCCAAAAGTTTTAGTCATATGACTCTATACTTTTCCAGATTCTTCATTTTTGCCTACAAAAGGACATGCAAAGTGCAAACCTTGATTACATTATCTAATTTAACCAAACCCAGGAGTCTAGGTGATTTCTCTTGTTGGTTTTCTCTAAAGAAAATATGGTTAAAACAGCAGCTGCACCGTTAAACTACTGTGTGCGATCACTTCGACTTAGAGAATGCAGGTTTGAACCCTTAAGCTACAGCTAAGCTAATAACAACCACATCCATACAGAAATATTCATTGCATTTTGTCCCGAGGTACAGACTGTACCCAAGCACCGCAAATTGAAAGTGTCCTTTTGTTCTGTAAAAGACAAACTTCTACTGCTGTCGCTGGCCCAGCGCTCGTCATAAAGACAAACAACCACAGCTCGGCTCGCGGTCACACAACAGAGTGTGGCTCGTCCGAGCCCAGCATCCACTTCCACCACCGGGGCATGTACGATGAAAGCCAAATGCTGTACTTCTCTTCATTGTAGAGGGCATAAAAAGCTATTAGAGAATATTAGGCCTTCAGGGGGTCGCTCGCCCACTGCCACTGATGTAGAGAGGGGAGAGAGGAAGTAGAGAAAGGACGAACATCAGCCTAATGTAAAAAAGTCTCTCTTGGTCATGATGGATGATGCCGAATGCAGGTAAGAGAGGCTCACTTGTATTTTCTAAACTATTTACTGTGAGGTTTTAGACACAGGATAAAGGGAGGCTCAGAAATGTTGTTTTCCAACATCATGAGTCAGAAGGCAGACGCGCCCCTGTCCGAGATGCCACACAGTGGGGTTTTTTGGCTGTTTTTCTGCCCAACAATTTCCTGTTTACTGCTGGTGAACAGATTCTACAGAACATGGGCGCAACTTTGACCGTGGTTCAGACAGCGAGATCAAACAGTCCTGAACTGGATCTGTGGGCTATCTTGTGATATTCAGCTTTGTCTAACATATGAATGGTTTACTGTTTAGGCCACTGAGTGAACTCTGTCCTCTGAAAATGCAGAAACATTATTCTAAGTTAGACCAAACTCCAAAACCACAACAGCAAAATCTTTGTGTGAATCCTGATACTCTGGGATTTTCCACCTTCTAGATGAATCACTTTGTGGGGTCATTTGAGTAATCACTCATGATAAGGGACTACCAAGAATAATAATATCTTTATTTAAAAACAGTAGCACCTTTCAAGAACAAGTTACAGTTTTCTTTACAAAGGCAAGAGCAGTGCACGACTGCACATTTCCTTCAAGGCTTAAAATGTTCGTGTAAAGCGTGAACTGAGTCTGAGTCTCCGGATATTTGGATGCGATCTATACTTAAAAACATTAAGATAATGTCTCCAAACTTTTCTCACGTCATTTTGATGTGCATTTGTTGTGTTGTGTTTTTAAGGAGCACTATAATTAAACCATTACCTAAAAAGCTCTTATTTGATCCATCTGTCTCCATCTGGCTAATTATAGGCCAATTTCTAACCTTCTTTTTATTTCAAAGATTCTCCAAAGAGTTCAGTTCAGTTCATTTTTATTTCAAACATTTCAAACATGTGCCTTCACAATCATTACAAAATATCATTCCATTATTTGTTTGAAAAGGAGTAGTTGTCAAGCAGCTGGATGATGATCTAGAGGAGCATTAAAACAGCTAGTGAAGGTTACAAATCATCGTTTTATGGCCGTTGACAGTGGACTCCTCTCTGTGCTTGTCCTGCTCGTCCTCAGTACAGCACACACAACTGATCCGAAATTACAAACTCAGACGCACCACTGGTGTTTTTGTTTGAATCCTACATATCTCATAAATTTAGTTTTGTTGATTTAAACGAGGAGCGTTCCACAGATCTCAATGTTTGGACCACTATTTTTACATTATACATGTTTCCCCTCAATAGTGTTACAGAGCACTGGATACATTTTCATTGCTATGCAGATGATACCTAAAGCCAAATGACACAAATCCATCCATCCTAACCATGTGCTTCTTAATTCAGTTTTATTTGTATATATTGTAGGTCAAAGACACTGCAATATTAGTTATAGAAACAAATATGATCAAATGTCCCCATATGAGCAACACGTGGCAACAGCGGGAAGGAAGAACTCCCTTTTAACAGGAAGAGACCTCCAACAGAACCAAGCTCAGAGAGGGGCGGGGCCATCTGCAAACGCAAACCATGAACAATATAAAACGTGCAGTGGTGCCATATAAATAAAAATATCCTCTGCTTTGTTCATGTTTTAATTGTGGGAGGGGAATGTATAACTCCTAATTGTTGTAAGTATCTATAGCTTCAGCCTAACAACTTTCCTGTGGTATCGGTTTTAAAGAAAAGAGCCATTCCTTCACTGGAGTCTGTTATCAAAATATTGTCTGCTTGATGATTCTTCCTCTCGCTCTCGTTTACCTCCAGAGGGGAAGAGTAAGAAGGAGAAAGGAGCGTCGATCCAGAGGAGCACGGAGACCGGCATGGCCGTGGAGCTGACGAGGAACATGAGCCGGCAGCCCAGCAGAGAGTCCAACAACGGCAGCATGAACAGCTGCAACTCTGAGGGGAAGTCAGTAAACCCGTCCCTCTGCTACTCGTCATCTGCACTCTCTGTGTCACAAAGACGTCCTGAATGAAATGAGTTAGAGTGACAGTAATGACTGCATGTCAGCATGTTCTGAGGGAGACATCCATTCCCGCCTGCGGGTATTTCTGTATGTGTTGGCCGACTGAGAGTAAACACAGTCTAATATAACGAGCACGCAGTTTAAAAATGAGTCAGCGTGGAGAGTGTGAGGCGACGATAAAACCAAAACTCAGACAGAGTCAAATTAAGACCGGGTGTTTTCTGTCGCTTGGACAATCACGTAGATATTTTTTCTTGTTATAAATAATGAGTGCAAGTGAAATTCTCCTGGAGGCAGCAAAGTGAATCCACCACATGTGCTGACTGAGTGGGGCCATCAGCAAGACTGATGACACATTTGTATATAGGTTGGTGATTTTTAGAGTTAATAATGGGCTGTTTTGTGTTTTCTGTGGTAGCTTGATCTTTTCTGGAGTGAATCTAGGTGCCAGCAGTCAATTCAGTGACTTCCTGGATGGACTCGGACCAGCTCAGTTAGTGGGAAGACAAACACTGGCTACTCCTGCCATCGGTACAAAACCTCTTCTCTCTTCTTTTGAATTATTTGGGGTATTTTTTAAAGCTTTATTTGTGCATGCATGGATAGATGTTGTAAAGGTTTTTTTGCATTTAACAATGAATCAGAAAATGCCAGAAAATGTCAGAAATCATTAGTATTGTAATGTTTTTGCTACTTTACTTTGTATTTTTGTGTGTCTTGAGTATTTCTAGCATGAATTTCTCTGACATATTTTGGATATTTCTGGTATTTTATTTTAAATGTTGATTGTGCCATTCATCCTCTTCTCTTGGTCGTGAGGCATCAATCTAAGCAGACAATCCCAGTCTTCCATCTTCCCAGCCTCTCCTCCACTTCTTCAGGTGGGAAGACGTTCCCGAGTCAGCCGAGAAATGTGATCTTTCCAGCATGTCGTGGTTCATTTCACACTGGGCCACAGACTGCTCCAGTGCAAGTTGGAGGTCACTGCTTGATAAAGCCAGCGGAGCTACATCATCTACGAAAATCAAGCACGAGATCCTCAGGCCACATAGCCTTGAGAAATTCAGGGAAAATCTCATTCGCCCCATTCACTGTGTCCACTGCAGAAGGTCTGTCAGTGGGGCTGAGAAGATCCTTGATGTATTCCTCACACCACCAAACTATGTCCTGAGTTGAGGTCAGCAGCGTTGCATCCCTGCTATAAAAAGTGTTTGCAGGGAGCTGTCCACGCCACTCGAGTCACCTGACGATTTGCCGGAATTCCTTCAAGGTCGACTAAAAGTCCTGCTCAATGGCCTCGCTGAGCTCCTCCCATACCTGAGTTTTTTGGTACTGCAAGAGCTGCAATCCACTTGGCCTGTTGGTACCTGTCAGCTGCCTCTGCTCACCATGCTTGATAGAATCCCTCCCACTGCTTGATGGCTCCTTTAACCTCTGCTGTTCATCTGATTCAGGGATTACCGCCACACTAGGGTCCGCTTTCCACAGAATGCTGTTAAAGTTTTGCTCAAAGTGAGAGCTGAAGAGCTTGACACTCTGGCCTTTGCCAAGTTCACCCTCACTGTCCAACATCTTCCATTGCCACCTGATGCAACTCACCAACAGGTGGTGAAGTGCAAAAATGAATCACTGACCTGCGACGCAGGGTGTCCTGGTGCCACGTGGACTTTTGGACACCCTCATGCTTGAACATCGTGTTCAATTTGGAGAAACTGCGGTGCAGCCAGTCCCTCCCATTCACACTCCTCTAGATCATTCTGTCATTGCCCATGTGAGCATTTAAGTCCTCCAGTAGGACAATGCAGCAATGTTCAGCACATGAGTGCACACGACAATCAGGACATAGGGAGGGAGAAAGAGAGACTGTTTTCATGTTCTTATAACTATTAATTTTATATTTTTATTGTTTCTTATGATTATTTGTACTTAATCTTGTTCTTTTTTATTGTTATTGTTGATGATGATCAATTTAATTGTGCCAGGCTGAGAGTGTTACCTATGCATTAAGTCTGCGCTCCTGTCGGTAGTAGATGTTGGTGTTGAGCTCTTTGTTTTCTTATTTTTTGTGCTGTGTTTTTTAGGTGATATCCAGATCGGTATGATGGAGAAAAAGGGTCAGCTGGAGGTGGAGGTGATCAGAGCACGAGGACTTGTACAGAAGCCAGGATCCAAATCTCTCCCTGGTAAGCGCCCAACCTGACTGAAGCCGCCACAGACCAACTAATCCCTCCATCACTCACACACATGTTATTATAATCCAGTATATACACTCGACTCAAGCTCACCTGTTCTTTGCATTCGTACAACCAGCCCTGAGAGCCGATAGTGTTCCCACTAATGGCTTTTTTTATTGCTCTGTTTCTGCCGTCAGCTCCATATGTCAAAGTCTATCTGCTGAATAATGGAGCGTACGTAGCCAAAAAGAAAACCAAGATTGCACGGAAAACACTTGACCCACTGTACCAGCAAGCACTGCTATTTGAGGAGAGCCCGCAGGGGAAAGTGTTACAGGTGAGCAGGAGATTTATTTCCCTTCATCACAAAGTTAAATGCTTCCCCCCCTCCTACTTCATGCTGACGGAAATCGAGCAGAGCAACATGACAACGTGAAATTATTTTTTCCTTCAGGTGATTGTATGGGGAGACTATGGCCGCATGGACCATAAAAGCTTCATGGGAGTTGCACAAATCTTATTGGAGGAGCTGGACTTATCAAGCACAGTCATCGGTTGGTACAAGCTGTTCCCACCATCCTCTCTGGTGGATCCGACACTCGCCTCCCTGACGCGACGAGCTTCTCAGTCGTCTCTCGACAGCTCGTCCGGACCGCCCGGGGTCCGATCTTAGTGGACAAACAGCTCTACACCACCGAGAAAAAACTAAAACTAAAACTCGGAGAGAAATGAAATACTAACGGCAGAAATGTAGAACAACAACAATCAGAAACACGAGAAAGCTTTGTTGAAATCTGACAATCACTCCTGCCGCGGTTAATTTTGTCTGTCGTAGGGAGCGTCGCATTTCAGTGTTTCATGTCCATTCGAGGAAAAGTCTCTGTGTTTTCTCTGTGTGTGCTGAAGAAGCCGTGCAGCAGCTGTCCAGACAGTACCAGAGAATCCAAACGAAGCAGGGTGGCTTTTAACCGAATCAACAATAGCAAAGAAATGTATGTAAAGCATCGGAATGTATGGACTCGAGACAAGAGGTAATCACCCTCCGCTCCTGCAGGCGGCGCTGCGCTCCCTGCAGTGGCCTCCTCCAGAACCCCAACAGACTGCTGGTATTCCCGTCCCCGCCGTGTGTGGGGGACGGGGTGCTCAGTCTGGAAGCACAGGGCCTTCTTCTGGTGCCTAGACCTCGGAGCCGCATTACTGGTCCCCCCCTCTCTGTGGAAAGATCCTCTTTTCAATATGTTTACCATGGCTGCTCTGAAGCCGCACTGTTTCAGCGTGTTTGCTTTGTTGTTCATTTCTTTCCCTTCGTTACTACTGGCACAAGATGTTTTTAAAAATGCTCATGATAATGTTGTCAGTCTGGTGTGTGCATGGAGAGTAAAAATAAAATACAAGAGATTAAAAAAAAAAAGAAGCTATTAAATGTCTGCAAGTGTAATGCAGGAAGAGGGCGGGGAACAGGTTAGATTTTTACATGTGAGATTAGCGTTGTTTTGCTGGCAAGCGTGCAGGCCAGTCGTCTTTGTATAGTTGTATATTAGGCCTCCCAGGAGGTTGACCAATAAGTAAAATTTATGTCACTTTGAAATATCACAAGGGTACAATGTCAATGTAAAAAAAAGAAAACGTAAATCTTTGTTCACCTATGTGAGAGCGAGACAGGGGCGTCTAATTTTTCACATTTTTTGGGAGGCACATTCCCTCCCTCCCGGCATGTTAAAGGTTTTTATCCAATCTTTAGTTCAACATTTTTTTCTTTTTAAATTTAAACACAAGCACAAGAGCTTGATTTTTTTACAACAAAAAGTTTAACGTTTTGAAGAAAAAAATAATAATACATAGCTAAAAAAATCAAAAACAAAAAAAAGGACAAAAAGCAGCAATCCTCCCGTCACCGGTTCTCTTCATCGTTTCGTCTCGACGTTCGGAGGCAAACAGAACAACAAATATTGTCACAGTTTTTTCCTCGTGCATCTCGGTGAATGTGGGCCAATCAGATCGATCCGTCGGGACGCCAACGCTCATCCTCCGTCCAGCCTGCAGGCTCCTCCCACCCGGAGGGGGGAGGGGCAGCATGACTTTGGAACCCGTTCCAAGCTGCATGCACATTTTTGTAAACAAACAAACAAACAAAAAAAATCTAGATACGCGTGTTAGCTCCACATACTGTAGGGCCGCTTGTATGTTGCATGCAGTTGTACAGTTTGCTCGTACTTGAATATTAAAGAGATAAAACCAAGAAACTGAAGCCATTCCCATTACGCAAAGACATCCAAATCCACTGCAGTCCAGTCCACGTCCTTCAGTCCGGTGCTGAATGTCTCTCAAACCGAATCCCAAGATTACATTGATGTCTCTGGAAGATGTACTGTACTGTACTGAGCAGACCTCGCAGCCCCTCTTACTGTTATTCCACATCATAGTATACCTCCGAGGGGCTAGGACGATGTATGAATAAATATGTACAAATCAGATCTATGAAAATATGAATTATGTTTCAACATAATGATTTCAGACGACACGGAGAATAAACTCAGATGCACAGAAAGTCGCACCCTGTAAATACTCAGCACTATGCCCGGGGTTTTCATTTGGTTCACTGAGAAAAGGGGCCAAGTCTTATAATAAGGAGCGATTAGTACTTTAGGTGACGAGGGGACCGTGCTGTGGGACGGCGATGGGTCTGAAAGTCCTCGTCTGAACACTTCTCTGTGCTTCGAACTCGGCGTCTGTGCCCGGCCCGCCATGCTCAGTCCCGCCTCACTCCAGATTTCTTTTCATTGTCCAGTGAAGCTGTTTTTTTCCTTATTTATTTAGGTTTTTTTTCCTTGTCAGTATTAACAGGAGAAAAAATTGCTGATTGTTTACAACTTCTGTGTTCCACTGAAACAAGAAAATCAGAAAAAAGTAAAGCATTCACTGCAACATTTCTTGTTTGTATAACAGATGTGGCTCAAATGATGTGTATGTTTTATATATAAAAAAATTTCATTTTTATGATTTACAAATAAAAAAGAATGTGTGGAAAAAAATACCAATGTTTTCCTTGATTGTTTCTCATGCTTATTTTTTAATTTTCTGATTTGACATGATGTCAAAAGGCCAGGGTGCCTTGTTTGTGGGAAAGCTAATATTTATTCTCAGTCTGTGCATCTCTGAGCAGAGCAGCATTATTTTAGAGAGAGGGCCATCACTGTTCCCACCGTAGTAAATTTATTACAGTTCATAAAAACATATTTCAAGTGTTTTCATCAGTTCTAGATACAATATAAAAGAACAACATGTGCTTTTCCCCCTTTTATTCAGTTGAGAAGGTGATGAGCTATCTGCTAACGCTAGCTAGTTTGGTTAGCAAATGCTAACCAACTCTATGGGTCTATTGCTGGACATACCCGCTAATTAGTGCTATGTACAGTAGCATGCACAACAAAATTCTAGACTTTTATGCGCCGTGGCCATCGTACTAACTTGTCTGTGCAGATAACAGCTTAGGAATCTAAACAGTAGTCAGACCATACTAGTAGCTCTTACAGCAATCAACATGGCCTACATGTCCAGTTCGGTGAGCTCAGTTAGCTGAGGTTAATCCTAGCAGACAGTTAGTGTCCTATCTGTTACTCAGACAAACACGTGGCTAATAAAGTTTAAACAGGTGAGTAATAGTAATATTACTTAATAATTATTAATATAGTAATATTTATACCTAAACAGTTCTCATTAAGGAATAAATTGATCAAGGAGTGGAAAATAATTTGCGTAGCAAGCAGTAAGCATGATAATTTTTGCTCTAAAGTTGGCTATTTCAACAAGGGAGTCTATGGAGAGTGACTCACTTTAGAAGTCAGTCTTGAGTGGCCACAAGAGAAACTGCAGTTTTTATCAATATGTGTTGCACTGATTATGTCGTCCTTATTTCCTTTTTTTTGTTATTTCATGCTTTTGTTTGGGTCAAGAAGGGCATCCAATATAAAGTCTGCCAAATCAAACATGCGCTGGTAACCAGTGTGATGACGCCTTCTGGAAAGGGAGCAGCAACTATTTAAAAAGCGCTATAACCTCAAACGACCAAGATATTTTAGCAAATAAAATACAGTTTGTGACCACATGATATACCAGAAAGATTTTCTAAAAGGTTCTTATGTAATGAGTTTTCAGTCTTTTTTTAATGCAAAAATCCCTAAAGTTGTGATGTTATTTAACCAGGTACTTAGTCTGGATGGCTTTACCTTGGCCTCGAGTGATCCTGTGAGGAACACCGGCGTAATTTCAGACCAAGATATGTTCTTCAGCACACACAGTATAGACATACATGTAAGGCTGCTTTCCTTCACCTAAGTGGTATTTTTCTAATTCAATACACCATTTCAATTCAATTCAGTTTTATTTATACAGCACCAAATCACAACAACAGCCGCCTCAAGGTGCTTTATATTGTAAGATAGACCCTAAAATAATACATACAGATAAAAACCCAACAATCCTATGACCTTCTATGAGCAAACACCTTGGCAACAGTGGGAAGGAAAAACTCCCTTTGAACAGGAAGAAACCTCCGGTAGAACCAGGCTCAGGGAGGGGCAGGGCCATCTGCCGTGACCGGTTGGGTTGAGAGAAGGAAGGCGGGACAAAAGACATGCTGTGAATAAAATTTTAACAATGAAATGTTGTTGTTGTACAGTGGAACCTGTAAACAGAAGGCTTCTGCAAAGTAAAGTCTCAAAGACCAGAGATGAGAGAACGGAGGACAATTTTAGGTTCTTAAGTGCTCTGTTTGTGAATAAAGTCACATGACAACCATGTGGTACTACATACAACACCATCACAGTCTTGCCACTGCGATCCATCTAACCAAAAAGGATCTGCTGTTTCTTATACAACACAGAGCTTGGGAGATTTATGCTCCACTTGTTGTTAAGTAACCACAGGATCCCCCAAAAACAACATCTGCAGGCAATCTACACTGACCCGCCCACCACCCTTGCCCTGGCAGCCGGGCCCCCAGGCTCCCTCTGTGCTGCAGCATCAGGGGTCATAACCTGCCTGTATAAAACATGGACACAGACCATCGTGGAAAAGACACATGTAGATCACACATGTCAGAGGCCACTATAAAATTTCCATGCTGCTCCCAGGAATAAGATTAATCTATCTAATAAAGTCAAAGGTCATGCATTGGTGGAAAAGAAACCATGAGTTCACGTGGAATACAAACATTTCAAACTTAACTTTTAATATCATCCATGAAGACGGGCTTCCCAAGTAAAATATTAAACAAACAAAACCTTTGGGAAAAGAAAGGCTCATGTGAGCCGAGCGATGCCGGGAAAAACAGTCTGAGAGTCTGTCGGCATGAGGTTCAGGACCCAGAAACCATCTCACATGATGAGATGACGTGAGACCAGTGATAGTTTGGGTTGTAAGTTTACCACTGCTTTCCCTCCAGCAAAACATGTTACAACTTATTTCTTCTCAAGTGGGATTAAAAAGGGTGCAGATTTTTATAAAAGAGAACACCAGCATAAAAGGATTATCCATTTCCAGCCTCGTATTTTTATTCTTGGACTCTATCAGAGTAGCTGTGTATGACCCACAGTTCAAAACAATGCTAATTTATCTCATTCTGGGTCTTGTTTCAGTGCCACACTTCATCCTCTGTCTGAAACAAGTTGTTAAAAGCCATCTTTCACTGCGCCTCCTAAAAGGAATTACAGCAGGGGGGTGGGGCTTTTGTGCTCACAGCAGAGTACTTTTACAATAATGTACTTCCTCTGAAATAGTCCATAAATAAATACATTTTGATGGAAGGGTTGAGACAATTGTTTTTTATTGTCCAAAAATACCTTTCTGTGAGTTTTAGGGACATCATACCACCATAAAGCAATTTGTAGCTTCTGCCATTTTTATTTGAGGCATGAAGCGAGCAGCAGCTGAAATTTTATAGCTGCAGCGTTTTCAGTCACCACAGTCGCCTGCTCCTCTGCATGCATGGAGATACAGAAACACACATTAGCAGAATGCTAGTGTCTAATAAACTGTGGGATTTCTTTTTGTCCTGTTCAACACTCAGCTAGAGCGGAAGTTAGTTCCTATACAATGGGGTTAACAGGAAGTAGATTGGCTCTCCTCACAGCCAGAGATTTCCTAGAGCCAGAGATCAGTAATGACCAGATGAGGCACATTCACTCTCCAAATGTTTAGAGCAGTCTGAAGAATGCTCGGTGTTGCTCAAACCTATATATAGGTTTGAGCTATATATAGGTCTATACAGTCTATATATAGGTATATATATATACCTAAATATAGACTGACCTCGTTATTTCAATTCAATTCAGTTTTATTTATACAGCACCAACATCACAACAACACCTCAAGGCGCTTTATATTGTAAGGTAGACCCTACAATAATACACAAAGAGAAAAACCTAACAACCATATGACTCCTTATCTGCAAGAACTTTGGTGACAACGGGAAGGAAAAACGACCTTTTAACAGGAAGAAACCTCCAGCAAAACCAGGCTTAGGGAGGGGCGGGGCCGACAGGATATTTGGAACTTTGGATCTGTTTAATATAATCATCCACTATCATAATATATATGACAGGAAAAGGAAGGAAACATCACCTTTAAAAATAACTATTAAAGTGAAATCTAATGGAAATACTCTGTTGCTGCTTGTATGGCTGGTTTGACCTCCTGGTTCAGGAGCCAATGAGCAGACAATGGAAGGACATCAGGAAGCAGTACACACCTGAGTAATTTGGGCCTCTCTCTATTTAAGTGGCTTCACTGGAAACAATAGTTTTGCATTTACTTGTGATTGCGTGGGTTTTTAGGCTGTGTGCTCTCATACTGATCTTTTAAGGTGACATGTTTCTGGTTTTGAGCCTACAAACATGCATTTTCTCATCTTTAATCTTAGATTATGACCCTCCTAACACTAGTCCTTTCCTCTCTAAACTTTCTAGGTGCTTTCTTACTGCACAGTCTGACCATGTTAGGGTTTTGTCTGTTTCCAGCACTTCATTTTAGAGTTCACACGGCTATAATCAGGGTTTTGGAGTCATGTGAAATTGTCATACAATCTTTCCTTTGAGGGGTAGTTTGAGCCAGCCAGTTACACTGAGGTGTAACTGAACGTGGTTACACAGGTGTTACATTTGGCTTAAGTTATATTTCTGTTAACAAAATGGGAAAAAGTAAATCTGAAATGTACTCTTTTTTTAAAATTGATTTACAGTAGAGCATTTTTATTGCTTTGTTCAAACTGTGGCTGATGTAATACTCATACTTCTATCCAATCATGGGTCCAAAATATGCTGCAATATTCTTTAGATTTTGGCTTTGAAGTTGGAATTTAAAAATAAATGAATAAATAATTGTGGAGGAGGACTCTACTCATGTTTCCTATCACTGGTGGTCGGTACATTTCAGATCAACACATTTCATACAGAAACTGAGCTGCTATTAGGAAGCTCTGGAAATGAGTCACATAAACATAGTAATCAAGACATAGGATGAGTAATGAAAAAAGCTAAATGATGATGGGTTTTCATTATGACTGTGGTCAAAACCAGTAAAAGGCTCAAAACAAAGGTCTTTATTCAACTTTTTAATGCAACATTTAATTAAAAAAATCACCTATCAGTTAAAACTAAACATTTCAGGCTTTAAAAACATTGAGCCCTTAATTAAATTGGTTGTTCTAATTTAAACCAGTTTATATATGCCCACCCTTTGGGGTTTTTGTGCCAGGAAACATGAAGATGGGAACGGTAAGCTGAAACTCATCTGAGCAAACAGCTTCATGCGAAATTTATTTTTAAATGTCAAACTGAATGAGAACCAGAATCATTTGCAGCTCAAAATGAAGCCGTTTTCAGTGCCGCTTGTTTCATAATGCTTCATAATCATCATTCCCAGGACTGCACTCTTCTGATGTTGTGTCTGGAATCTGCTGGTGCCACTCTTCCATCACTGAGAAAGACTGCCCGATGCACCAGTAGATGGAGTAGTTTTGTAGGAATACAGAGCAGAGTTGAGCTCTGAGGGTGATAAAGCAGCTCCTGCAGAATCAATGGATCAAAAACAGCAGAAGATGCACTTTGGTGCTCCCTGACCTTCTTAAATTGTGATGGGACTGACGCCTACCACTGGCACACACACACTCACACCTCATTCATATTGAGAAATTTCATTCAATTCAATTTTATTGACACAGCACCAAATCACAACAACACTCGCATCAAGGCGCTTTATATGGTAGGGTAGACCTTAGAATAATACATACAGAGAGAAACCCAACAATCATATGACCCCCCATGAGCAAGAACTTTGGCGACAGTGGGAGGAAAAATTACCTTTTAACAGGAAGAAACCTCCAGCAGAACCAGGCTCAGGGAGAGAACAACGTGGGAGACGGTCGCATCTGCTGCAACTGGTTGGGGTGACAGAGGAAGACAGAACAAAAGACATGCTGTGGAAGAGAGTCAGAGATTAATGCAGAGAGGTGTAAAGAAGAATTACTGTTTGCATCATGGGAATCCCCCGGCAGCCTACAGCTATTGCAGCATAACTAAGGGGGGATTTGGGAGTCACCTGATTCAGCCCTAACTATATGCTTTAGCAAAAAAGAAAGTTTTAAGCCTAATCTTATCATTAGAGATAGTGTCTGTCTTCCAAATCCAAACTGGAAGCTGGTTCCACAGAAGAGGGGCCTGAAAACTGAAGGCTCTGCCTCCCATTCTACTTTTAAATACTCTAGGAACAACAAGTAAGCCTGCAGTGCCAGAGCGAAGTGCTCTAATAGGGTGATACAGTAAGATAGGGCTTGATTATTCTTGTATGTGAGGAGCAAGATTTTGAATTCAAGTCTGGATTTAACAGGGAGCCAATAAATGGAAACCAATATAGGAGAAATATGCTCCCCCTTTCTATTCCCCGTTTCTCTCCTCTGTTTCCTGAGGGGGGGCCTCTTCTTGGACTCACGGTGGGGCCAGCTTATAAGAATATTCAGCCTGTGTGACTGTGAACAGAAGAGGAAGTTCACACACGAGGCGTAACTGACATGACATTTTCTAACCAAAGCAGTGTTCAGCGTGGCTGCAGTGACACAAAGGAAACAACAGGCCGGGTTGATTCCATTCAGCCTCAGGACCCCCGCAGTTTAGAATCGTCTCTGAGTTTATGTCGGGCTGTTATGTCAGTGCAGCACCGAGACAGATACACAACAGACGGCGTGACAGGTTCAAAATGCACTTCGGCCGAGAAATTATGCGTCTCTGGTGCCACGTGGTTGCGGTGACAGCAGGACAGCAGATGACAGAGCAGCTTTGAAAAGAAAAGGGTGACACTCAAAGGCTTTTACTGTGCCAGTGTGATCAGAGTGATCAGACAAACCATAAAAACGTGTAATAAAGAATAAAGAATCGTAATACTTTCTGCAGATGTTCACTGCGCCTTCCTCTGCGGTTACTTTTCCAGCACAGAAAGTGGAAAATTCTGCAGAACCCGTGTTACCTGATAGACTTTTAAAAAACCAACAACCGGGTGTAATTTTGAACTTCTTCAGGAAATCGAATTACACGAGGAGCGACGGTTCCTCATTTGCATTTCTGCTGTCCTGGCGCGCGAAGACAAAACAACTCAGAGTGGACGCTTCTTTCTTTAAACAGCATGTAAAAGTGAGACACAATCGCCACAGCGACGACAAAGTGTGATAAAGATAAAGCCGTCGCGCGAGGGCAGCTCTGATGCGCCTGTGCACGTGGACGCAGAGGCGTGCGTGGAAGCAACAGGCGGTGAAGCGAGAGACGTCTCTCCTCGTGACATCTGTAACTTGTGATTTTGGTGCGAGCCAGCACAGGACACGCGGCGTGGATACCTTCACGCGCGGGAGCCGTTGTGTAAACGCGGAGCGAGAAAGAGGGCGGTCAGAGGAGTGACGGCACACGGTGCGCCGCGCGCTGCTCTCACTCCCAGCTCGGCTTCTGGTGGGGTGCCCGTCGCACGTGCAGTTTGTTGTTCGTGCACGGCGGGACAACCGGCGTCGGGAGACGCATGCTTGAAAAGACCTGCGCTCACTTGACGCCCGCTTTGGTGATGCCATGCCCCGGAACCACAGCGGAGACGAAGGCGGCACCGGGCTCTGGATGAGGACCTCGCCGGGGCACCGTACCGAAGGCTACGGCTTGAAGGATGTGGAGTCCGGCGGAAAGATGATGAACAACGCAGGAGACGGCTTGCTGTCGGCCCCCGGCGCCGCAGGTGCTGCCGGGTCCGACAACGCGAGGGGGAAGCAGGGAGCCCGGCTCAGCCTGCTGGGGAAGCCACTCTTATACAGCACCCAGAGCGGCCGGAGAAACGTGCGCTACCGGCGGCTTCAGAACTACCTGTACAACGTGCTGGAAAGACCGAGAGCCTGGGCGTTCATCTACCACGCGTTTGTGTAAGTTCACGTTATGATATGCGTACGGAGTTGTGTGATGCGAGGATGCACACCTGTTGATGGTCCCTGCGGGAGGGTTTGCAGTTAGAAAGCTTGATTCAGTTTGGGGCACTTTTGATATGTGATGGCTGACATGCGCCAGATTCACAGCTTTTGCACATGAAGCAGCTTCAGTGTGAGACTAACAGGTCACTTTTGCGTTAATGAGTTTCATGTGTGCTGTTAAACCCGGATCTCAGGGTCCCGGCGGTTAGGACATCTTCAGCCGTGCTGTGCGCCTTTCTTCGCTTCTCAACCAGCTGTATTTAATTTCCCGCGTGCGATTGTTTGTTGTTGTGGCGTGATAACTGTTCCTGAGAGGGAGGAAGGAAGTCGAGACACATGCTGACTGCAAAGCACCATTTTTTTTCTTTGGTGTGTGTGTTGTGTGTACACTAAGGGGAGGGGTTGCAAAGGGAGGACAGAAGCTGTTTACACACAACGCAAACAGCTCAAGTGTTCACTTTTCTTTCTGAGTCATCATTAAAGCTACTCTTTCAAACTGCATTCTTCATGAGCACATAGGATTTTCCCCTTGGTGTCGTGTGTAGGCTGTGGTCTGCGGTGGCACCTTTCATGTCGCATTCTTTTAAAAGAAATTACACTCGCTGACTGAAAACGGTTTTAAAATTTCCTAGACAGTGAAATCGAAATTTCATGTGTCGTGCGCGGTGATGGAAGGCAGAAATGGAAATCGGATCCTTTTCTCATTGCAGAGTTGGTCCTGTTAATAAATACTGTTCAGTTACAATACAGCAGCATGTTGGTTAAAGAGGACGCATTCTGCTCATTTCCAGCATCATGTTCTTGTTCCGAGGCTCAACTGGAGGTTCACATGATTCCCAGTTCAAAAAACCCAACTTATCTTTTGTTTAACTTTGCTTTTTTAGCTCCTCTCTGTTCAGCATATGCTGATCTATTGATGTGAAACTTTGGCCATATTTAATATGAGCATCCAGCACTGTAACTGTATACATGTGACAAAAAACAAGAAAAGAAAAGAGGGAAATGACATCAGGAAAGACGTTTTAAGTGGCGTATAGAGATGAAGCTCAACTGAAAATTTAAACCAAAAAAACAGATTTCCCATAATATTTATGAAGACAGGTCTGACACATCTATAACTAAATGAGTTACAGATGTGCCTGAATGACATTTTTGGGTTTTATATATTTAAGTGTGTCTCTATCTTTTCATTTGATGTGCTGCCTCCTTTCACAGTGCTGCATGAATTATCTGCCATTGTACTGGAGGAGCAAACAAAGAAGCTGTTGGCCTTGGACTCGTATGATCGACTGCGTGTGATGTTTATAACCACCTAACTAGTTGTAGAAAACATTCGGATATACGTTTTTAAAACCTCTGATTAGTCCAGTTCAGTTTTACTTAGAGCTGGTTCACAAAACCAGTCATCTCAAGGTGCTTTACTCTGTAAGGTAAAGCTCTTAATACCTAATACTAGAGAAAACCACAATGATCAGATAAGGAGATGAGCAGCGCTTGGAGGCTGTGGGGAAGAAGATCTCCATTTTAACAGGATGACGCTTCCAGCAGAACCAGGGTTAGGGAGGAGCAGCCATCTTCTCCATTTGATTGGCTTTTCTTTGTGTAGCTTTTTGGCAGTGCAGAGGTTAGAAGGATATGAGATTTGAACCACTGAGGCTATGGAGATGGACATGTGCACAGTCCAACAAAGACATTGCATCCGTCTTATCCACACGTCGAATACTGACTGGCTGAAGAGTTGGTTTGAACAGAAAAGGTAAAGACGACTGAGCCCACCACCAGGAGGCAGAACTGTGGAAAAAATGTCAGTGGTCAGAAAAAAGTACAATTTAAAGCACAAACTGTGATTTCAACAGACAGTTGTAAATGTTTTTGGCTTAAGAAGAAGACGTTCTTCGTATATTATGATCTGTTATCTCTCAGGCATGGGGCTCAGGTAAATGACCAGGAACAGCATTAAATTAACAAGAATGCTTATATTACAAGCTGTTCCACACATTTTTGACACTGCACCCTGGTGACTGTGTGCAGATACAATATGGGTTATTTGGCCTGCAAAGATCTGCCTTCTGACATGGAGTCGGCTGCACGTAAAAAATTAACATTACCAAAACTTTAAGATTGAGCCCGCAGAAGCATGTTGCTGTAACTGCATGTCTGTCTTTAGTTCACAGTGAACAGAAGCTCAGTTCCCTGGAAAAGCCTCCATATCTCTGCTGGCAACAATGCAAGTTATGCTCTTTTAACACAGGAATTGTCTTGTGGAAATAAAGGTACAGAGGTCTTTGTTTCCACCCAGTAAAGTTGTCTCAGCATCACCTTTTCATTTTGATGCAAATCGAGCTAGCTGCAAGTTGAGCAGTTTTTCAGCTGTCCATTTAGTGCAGCTCGCACACGGTGAAAGAATCACTCTGCAGACCACAGCTACAACTAGGGCCAAATTTAATTAAAAACCAAAATTGGTCAAAATTTGCAAAGGGCTGGATTTGGTGTGAACCTTGATTTTTGACACGGGGTTTGAATTATCATGCTTGTAGCTGGCTAACTAATGGGACAATAAGTTTTCTCAGTTTCTACAAAAGCTGTTTCTGAGCCACTGGCTCGTCTCACTCCGTACAAGTCTTGCTTCTTTTCCGTGGAGCAGCATCTGCTCCCTGCAGTGTTGGGTTAAAATTGGATAGTACAATCATCAACCAAAAGCTACAATAGCAGCTCTGTGTTACCTCAAAGATAAGCACTGTTAAGGCAGTTTGATGTTTACTAAAGTAGAATTCGACATAGAGACATGGATGGATTTACTAACCCCTGCAAGTGATTCCAGCTGATTTTCAACACTATATTTCTAAGCTTTAAATGTTTCTGTGACCTTTACTCCAACAAACCCTCCCATTCAGATTTGTTTGTATATTAACTAAAAGGCCTAAATTCAATGATTTGCTACAACCAAAATAGAGAATCTAGTGTTTGTGACCAGTCAGGGGTGTGGGTTTGTTTTACACCCTTTCATGTAAACTGCGTCATGGGCAACATTTTTTTTTTTTTCCAGGAACCAGAATTTTGATTTTTTTTTTCTAAAATCCAGATTTGAAACTTTTGAATTACACTTGCTCTATATTTATTTTTAGCATGAACGTGCCATCGCTTCAGCCCCAGTACTTTGAGCCATCCAGCTTTATGCTGACCTTCCGTATTCCCCTTTATTGGAGCCATAGCTTAGACGTACACCAGTCGATATGCTTTAGTTTGCTGTTTTAGTTAAAAGCTTGACTGAAAACTGCTAATTTACATATTTTATGAAAGTGAGTTAGTCACATACGCCCACAGGGATCTTCAGACTCCTCACATCGGCGCTCTAAAACATTAGGAACGCATGGTCGGGTGGCCTGGAAGTTACTGAATGCTTTTCTTTCATTCCTGCGGCATCAAGCTTGAACTGGAGATGTGGGAGGAGGAGTGAACTCTCACTCGGCCCTTTGCTGTCTCTCCTGTACTGTGATGAATGGAGCTGTGATGGTTAGTGGCCTTGAAGTTATACTGGTCTGCTTATAGGACAGTTGTTGAAGCCGAGTGTGTCACCGTCACAGTTGTTATCTTTGAAATAAGATGACATCCATGTCCATATGATGTCAGACCTAACTGTGGTTCACCATTAAAAGCACTGCAAGCGTATTAATCAATCTTTCTTTAAATCACAACTCAGTAATCGGAGCACTCACTGGCTGGTGTGTAGGGGAGAGTTGGCTCAATGGACAGGAAAACCTGAAATTAACTGAAATTGAAAGAAGCAGCAAGGTGATATTTTGCTTTGGGGTCCATTTCACATTCTCATAATCCAATTATTCGGTGAAACCGGTGGTTTAAATGTGTTTTAGTAACCCAATAAGTACCTAATTTGCAAAGAAAAGCCTTGCATGTTGGGCACCCTCAGAAGAAGGTGGTTAGTTTAAATGCAGGTTTTGCACACGGTGTACCCGATACACAAATGGTAGCACTGTGGGTTAGCTTGGTAATATTGTAAGAGTTTGATAATAAAGAGGTGATTTCTATCATGTAAGCAACAACCAGGTAATGGTCACGAGTATTATCTGAGTATTGTGTACTTGGGGCTGAACAGTTGGAAAACATTTAACGTGCCTTTTTCTGCTCATTTACCCCCATATTCCTTCTTCAACTCTGCTAGAAATGCATGGTTCACATTTCAAAGTCCTCACCTGCCTTAAAGTGGACCTTGCTGCTGCCTTTAGTTCATCCCCTGTCTGAACTAAGCCATTTAAGCTCCTCCCCTTTGAAAGGAAGGGTCCGTTTTAGCAGGCATTCATCTGATTGGCTGCCGTTCATACACACGAGATTAGAATGAAAGGTGGGTGTGGTTTCTGTGCTCACATGCTTGCCATGATCATTAAGGGATATCCCCCTCTCTGACGTCAGAGTCAAGAATAGAAACAAAACTGTCTGAAACTGAGCATTTTGGGGCAGGAGAAAAAAAGTTATAGTACAATGTTAGGAATGAAAGTCCCAGTATGCTGTTAATAATGTGAAAGCAATGAGGTACTATCGATAATTGTATTATAGGTTAGCGTTAGACTAACATCATCAGAAACATGAAATAAAGTGATAACATAATCTAATCTTGGAATAAGTTCCAAGTATTATCCATTCATGGTTATTCTGAAATATAACCATGGCTGAAAAATTCTTTGTTTCTATTAAAATTCATTCCGGTCGTAGATTAAACCAAACGTTTGTGTGGAAACCCTTTGGTTGGGTTTCTGCGAACTAATCACCAGACATGCAGACATGTTCACATGATACTCGACACCAGAATGGTCCCTGAGGCAAGCAGCAAATTTGCATAATCTCAGTTAAGAACAGGGTGTTTTTCCCGCCTGCTGTGCTGCTTTGTGATGTGAAATAAAAAGACAACCAAGACAGACATATATATTGTTAAACTCCAG